GCGCGCCGCGTCGAGCGTGGCCACTGTTTGGCCCTTTTGGTACAGTGCTGGCCGGTCCGTTGGGTTGAGAAGTAGCAGCGGCACCGTGTGGCTGCCCTGGACTGTCGCCAACAGTCTTCCTACCGCGCAGTGGTTCGAAAGAGTTTCCATCGCAATCATGTACTCTTTTCCGGCCGGTGCGTTAGTTGTGGCCGTTAGCAGTGCTTCTGTGTATGCCGGGATCTCTGTCCTCTCGGTGAACCGTGCTGTGAATTTTTCGACTGGCCCGCGCTCCGTGCGCTTTTCCGGGCCGTCGCTGATAACGGAGGTCTTCATTTTGCATATCGGTGAGCCATCTTACAGCGCTCCAGTTGCTGCTCTAAAAGTGACGTTTCCGAGTTTGTTCTCAAAGCCCTTTTTGACTGGGTGTTGTTGTGCCGAAAATCCACCGGGGCACTTCAAAGTTTTCTTGTCCAAATCAATTTTGCACTTGTGGTAAGTTAGAAAATCAATTCCAATGAGTGCATCCGCACTGATGGCAAGCTCGTTAGAGGCCACGAGAAATGTGAAAGGGAGAGAGTGTCTGCCTCTAATTACCTCTAAGTGAGCTTCACCCAAGATTGGTACTAACGACCCTGTTACGGATTTCACATTACGGACATTTTTAGGCGTGTATTATTTTACACACTTTTGCAAGATCAGAGAGACTTCTGCTCCCGCGTCGACTAGGAACCAATAATTTTGTTCATTTACCTTGAGTCGCACCAAATTTGCACCTGTGTTTTGAGTGTCCGGGTCGCTGGCTGCGGCAATCGTGGCTTGGTTTCCGTCCCGATCTTGTCTGCTGTCTTCGTCTAGCGCCGCTGGTACTGTTTTTGGAAACATGGCCGCGGCGCATACCGCGTTCCGTTTCCGTTTCCCTGCTGGCGCCAGCTGTCCTGGCGACCTTGAGAGAAAGTGACTCGCCGTTGGAAATGGCCGTTGCGCTGTCCTTGGCCTTGGCTGCGCTGGCCCCGTCCGGCTTGCCAGCTGGGGTTAATTGAGCGGTCGCGCTGCTGCCCACTTGAGCGCGGGCGTTGATCCTGCCAGCGCGGGCTGGCACTTCTCCCGCGTTGCTCCCAGCGCGGGCTCGCTGCCTCGCTGCCACTGTACCGCTTGCCCGCCGCGGCCTCTTGCAGGCAGGTAGCCCTGGCGGCGTGGTGGCTGCTGCCGCGTGGCTGCACGGCACTCTCGCTGGAAATGCCCTACCTGATTGTAATTGTAGTGTCTCCTGTTGTCTCGGACCGGAGTGTCCGATGATTGGAGCGCCGCCAGCGATTGGTCCGGTGCGTCGCTGTTTGCCGCTTGCTGTGTTTCTTCAGGGGTTGCGATGTGGATCAGATCAGCGAGCGTATGGTCCTTGTGTACCTGGACTCTCAACAGTTTTTGTAGTAGTGTGCCCGTTCAGTCGTGTATTCTTTAGTACACTTTTGCAGAATCAGGGCAATCTTGCTCCCGTGTCGACCAGATGTGGAGAGGGAGATAGATGTTTCCTGCTCCTTGAATCCTTGAATTCTTTCCAGTCACACAGCCTGTCCGGGTCTTGCGAACAGGCCAATAAGGCCCGTGCAGAATACCTGAGCCTGAGGCGAGCTACCTGGCATTTTTGGGTGTCGCTCCATTGCGCCAAATTGGCTGCATCTTCAACTCCTTGAAGCCACTCGGCAATTGGGGTAGGGTCCCCGTCGCCGGAGTAGATGTCGATGGAGTCGATGCATGCTGCGTTGGAAATGGCTCCTTCCATTTGTCGAGGCTGTGGTCCTTTCTGTTGCCGTTCTTACTTGGTCTGGTTTAGCTTCTTCCGGTGTTGTTCCTTCTTGATGCGGAGTGCCTCTGCTGCCTGCCTGCTGGTTAGCTTGCAGGGCAAGTTCGCATGCCAGCTGTCTTGCTTACCTTTCCTCTTCGGTCGTTGGCTGTTGTTCTTCGGTGTGCTCCTGCTTATGTTCAAATGACTTTTGCAATGCGATCCGGAGCCGTCGCTCTAGATCCTGGTGCTCCTGCCTTGCATCGAAACGAGCCAGAAATTCACTGATGTTGTAACTGGTGCTGCTGTATGAGGTATCTTCGGTGGCGAGCTGGTTGTTTTCTTCAGCTCGTATCCTTGCGGCCTCTAGTTCGGCCTGCTGCAGCTTCTTCAACCTTTCTTCTGTCTGTTCCTCTTCTTCACGCTGTCGCCGAGCTTGTTCCAGACGCCGTTGTTCTTGTTCTAATTCACGTTGCCTGGGACGAAACTTCTTCGGCCTTGTGTTCGCTGTTAAGTATGTCCGCCCGTGTCGCCACGAAAAGCAGATGTGGGCGGCCTGCAAGTTACGTATTGGCCGTTGTAAGACTTGCCAGCGGTCAGGAGGGTTTCCTTGTAGTTGCCTCGGGTCCAGCTTTTCTCGGCGTGGGTGTGGAGACGCGTCAGTAAATAGTTGATGCCCTCGACGAATTGAAACAGTTGTAAACGAGGGAAATCACTTCTAATCTTCTCTAGTTGAATCACGGCAAAACGAGGGTACTCTCTCTTGGCGTCCAGCGGGTATTGCGACAGCAGTCTTCGTAGGTCAGTCCCGTTGAAGTCCATCAGTGCTGCTGTCCCGGGTCGTTCCGTCTGTCGTGCGTGCCGGGCCCTGCCAGGCTGGAGAAACCGTGCCCTGTCCGTCCACTGTCAGAAAACACCTGACACCACTGTGATGGCTGGGTTTCCTTGTCTGAGTTCGATGTTGGTTGCTTGCAGTCTCAGTACAAGGGCCAGTCCTAGGGGCACTTAGGGTTCTCGACAGTAAACACTTTACTCACTAGTAAGATGTTTATTAGACGACAGGGCAGGTTGGCTTCTCAGGGCTTCACTCGAACGCACTGCACTTCACTGGACTGTGGCTGGGACACGACTGACCCGGGCTCCCCGGCGCGGCTCTATAAGTACCCGTCAAATTCGGGCCTGCGCAGAGACGGCCGGGCATTCTGCGCATTGCATCATTTGCAACAATGTGCGCCAATTGTGACCACTTGTCATTCAATTGGGACAAGTGCCGGCCCGTCGTCTGAGTGTCAAGTGCAAGTACCGAGTATGACTTTCTGGCTAACCTTGACACGTGGAGGATTCCACACCAAGGATGTCGCGCCAACGAACACGGCCAGCACCGTCTTCCACGCAGCGGATGCGCGGCGGCAGCAATCAGACGCCGAGGCGAGGCAGGGATAAAAGGAAGTCCGTTATTCAACGACCCCACCAGGCCCCATGAGTGTGAGAGAGACGGAGAGACGACGCAATCACACTGATGCTCCTGCTCGTCCTTTGTCCCGAGTCACTGTCCCCTTTTGCGATAACTCCATGCGTAAATTACTTACTTGTTTTTTGTGCATTCATGCACGAAATTGAAGAAAGTTTTATTTTACGTAAATTCGTGCGTAGCCAAGCACGAAAATGTTCGTCGTTGTGCATAAAGTCGCGCATTAAATGCGTGCCGGCGCAATGCTCTATTTTACGCAAAAACTATGCACAAAAACTACATGGTTGTGTCGGGTGGCTGCGTCGGACGTCAAAGCGGCCAAAACGACCAAAGCGGCCACGGCAGCCAAAACAGCGTGCGTGGCGGTGTCCTGTCCGCCCCGAACGAGGCCCCGCCTCCCCTCGAGCGTGTTTGCAGGAACGCTCAGGCGTACGCCACGTGGATCCCGAGGGGTGGCAAAAGGACAGTCGGTGCCCCCTCGGCCCCCAGATAGCCAGAGGTAGGCAAAAAGCCACACTTTGCCGACATTTTGTGGGCAAAAAGTGCTGCTTTGTCCGTCCCTGGACCAGCTGTGGAGCCTCCCCTGGAATCACTTCAAGCGAACAGCCAAGCACCGCACAGTGGGTCAGAAGACCGGTGGAGGCAGCCAAAATTCTAGGCCCCTTGTAAAAAAGATTGAGTCCGAAAACCGGCCGTAGCGGACAGCCCGTAATGTGGATGGCGGACAGTCCGGAAAGCTGCATCGGACAGTTTCGCGCGCGCGCGTTTTGAGCTCCAGAGTTGCTGAACAGGGCTCGAACCGAACGTGTGACCCCACCAATGGATTGCTCTCCGAAGGAGGAATCCATTGGGGGTCACACGTTCGATTCGAGTCCTAATTAGCGACTAGCTGGAGTTCAAAACGCGTCTAGAGTTTTGGCTGACTCCACCGGTCTTCTGACCTGACTTAGCGCCGGGCTTGCCCATCACGCGACTGCTGCTGGCTGGCGAACCCGGATATCGTTAACGTTAGATCCTAACGTTTCAGCATTTCTGGACAGCAAGTTTCTCGTGATCGTCTTGGGGAACTTTGGACTTTTGGTACTAAAAACGGGATTACGTAACTCAGGGCGCTTAGAAGTGCAAACTGCATTCGCTTGAAGGTTCAGCAGCCAGCGCCTGTGAGGCAGGCCACGCGCCGGGAGTGCAACCTTGCCCCTGTGAGGCGACAGGGCAAGGTAGGCCACCGTTGTTGCGCGTCGGGCCTGTGGCCTGCCCCACAGGCGCTAACAGCCACCCTCTATGACTCTTCCACACGCGAGCGTTGCGCTCGGAGGGCAGCAGCCAAGCTCACCCGACGAAACTGTGCGTGTGTGGCCGCAGCGTTGTGGCCAGCCGTCTGATTCCGAACACTGCTTCGCCGCTCTGTCTCTCTCGCACCCCTGCGGACCGCCCCATGAGTGCGAGAGAGACAGAGCGACGAAAGCAGTGCTCGGAATCAGACGGCTGATTCCGAGCGAGGCGTCTCGTCGGTCTATCTCTCTCGCACCCCCTCCGGGGCGCCCCGTGAGTGTGAGAGACCTCCCACTCTCTCGGAGTCAGCCTCCAGACACCGGGACGCCCGGAAACCTCCCCCGTGTCCAAATCATTGAGGCGTCGTCGTGATGTGTTGTGTTGTTTTGGTGTTTGGCAGGTGGCGCGGAGAGGAGGCGGGCAGGAGGACACGTTGGCCACCTGAGACGACTGCCCCACCCCGCCCCACCTCGCCCCGCCCCGCCCCACCCCACCCTACCCGGCCCCGCTCCGCCGTCTGCAGTGCCCTGCAGTGCGGCCACCAGCCGACCCGCCTGAATGAAGCCCCCAGCGCTTCCCCGCGCGGCGGCGACACGTGAGGTGAGTCCGAAAGTGGCGGAAAAGTGTCAAAAAAGAGTCCGGCCGGCGGCGGGATTCGAACCCGTGTCATTCCATTTTCTGTTGCAGGCCCAATGAGGCGGCGCCATGGGGCCGGGGAGGGTGCCGTGGGTGGTGGTGGGGGCGCTGCTGGTTCTATCCAGGGTCCTATCCTGGCCCGGTGCGGCCGCGCTCGACGCTTTGACGAGAAAGGTAAGCGCCAAAGTGCTGCAAAGTGCAGCGTGGTGGGCGGGCGTGGGCGGGCGGCAGGCGGCCGCACTCGAAGCCGGTACAGCGCCGCTGTTTCCTGGACTTGGCAACGGCCGCGCCGCCCACCAGCTTCCCTGTTGGCTTCCAGACGCCAGTAAGCCTACTTTGAAAACAACCCCCGCCCGCCCCCGCCCCGTCGTCCACCACGCGGACTCACGGTCTGCTGGGCGGCGCGGCGGCGCGGCGGCGCTGTGGACTCTGGCGCCGCGGAGCCTCGGAATGAGCTCAAGAAGTGCTCCATGCAGCAGACGGGGCCGCGGAGCGGGCCGCTGGGCGGGGCGGGATGATGAAGGCGCTTCATTTTCTCGACCGCGTCGCGCAGCGAAAACCAGTTTTTCATTTCACGCTTGCCGCTCCATGAGCACTGCCACGCCGCCGCCGCGCTTCCCGCCGAGCAGAGCGCCCCGCCCGCCCGCCCCGCCCCGCCCCACCCCGCCCCACCCCGCCCCGCCCCGCCCCGCCCCGCCAGGCCAAGGCCGCCGTTCCCCGCCCGACGCCAGCGGACTGATCCCGAGAGAAGGCTACATCGCTCCCTGTTTTCCTTGCACTCAGGGTGCGCCCCGTGTAGGTGCGAGAGAGACAGAGCGACGAAAACGACTCTCGGAATCAGTCTGCAGCAGCCGAGAGCAGCCCTGCGTAACCTGCTGCTCTGCTTTCCGGCGAAACTGGACTCCGCCTCTCTACTCCGCGTCCCTGAACCCTTTAGCCGATGCATTACCCCATTTAGCCCTCCGCTTCCTTCAGCCCCCGGTGCGTTCTTTCTTCCGTGCTGCCCCGAGCTGCGGGCCGCGCGCGTGGCGCCGGGGCCTTGCCCGGGCCTTGTCCGGGCCGCCCTTCGCGGCCAAGGAGACCAAGGCCGTGTTGCTGCCCGAACTCTTTTCTCCTTCCTCGGCCACGGCGGCCCCGCGCTGCCCCCCGCTGCCCCGCTCGCCAAGTTCCGCGCGCAAAGTTTTCCGGAACGAGCCGCACGGCGTCGCACTGGCTCGGCGGCGGCAAGGCGGCGCGGAGGGTGCGGTCCAGAACAGTGTGGCGGTAACAAATCAGCTCGCGGGGCTGGAGGCAAGGCAGGGCTGCAGGGCCCAAGGAGCTCGCGGGGCCGGGCCGCCGGGCCGCCAGGTGGGCGCAACGGCGGCGGCGGGATGCAGGGGCGGATACAGGGAGGGGGAGGGAGCGCCGCTCCCCCCTCCCCCAGACCGCCCCTAGATCCGGCTGGCGGCTAACGAGGCTCGTCGACGGGGCCCGGACGAGGGGAGGAACTGGTTAATGCCTTCGGCGCTCCCCCACGAAAACGAAGACTTCGTCCAGGTGATCAACGCTGTTCGATAGGCCAATAATTTGACCACTGAAATCGAATATATCCGAAACGACCGAAGGCCAGCCATAGGTCGAGCCAGGCACTCGCGCGACAACAACAAACCCCACCGTCGGTTGTCCTCGTACAGATATTCTGTCGTGGCTACCACCTTTGTGGGTACCGGATCATCGGTTGTATCTTTCGAATCTAGCCTGTCGAACACCACTCTTCTTCCCAGAACACAGTGTTTTTTCCTCTAGCGCCCAGCCCTCACTCACGCCGTATGTTCTGCTTGTCCGGCCCAGGATAGCGAGGACGCGCTGCAGCTGGTGCACGATGTGTCGACGGGCAGCCTGGGCGCGCTGTGCCTCGCCAACCAGCACTTCCGGTCGCTGTCCGCCGCCGTGGACCCGCGCCGCTACGACCCGGTGCGCCAGAAGGCCGACATGGCGGCCCTCGTCCTCAAGGACCTGGGCGTGGCCCACCACGCCGGTAAGCCTTTTCCTAGTGGGGTTGAAAATGCCTGGAAAGTTTCCGGAAACATTGAAAAAAAACAGTGTTTTTTTCGGTTTTTTTCCCTGGCCTCGGAAAAATTGGAAAGATTCAGCCTGAAAAGTAGGCAAAAAGTCGGGCATTTCGCCTGAAAGTAGGCTAAAAGCATACCTTTATCCCTATGTGAACACGGTTCTCAGTGCACTCATACTACTTATACCCTGTTATGATTCCTTCTCGTGCGTTTTTTTGAGCTTGCTGTTGTGAATCTCGGGTTGTCAGTATAAGTTAAGTTGTAACAAAGCACAAAAGTAGTAGGTTTCATGTTCATAGTGCCTTAAAACTAATATTTCCAATTTTTCCTTTTTTTCAAATTTTCTGGGTTTTTTTTTTTCAACTTTTCCGGGTTTTTCCCGACCCTTTGAAAGTTTCCGGAAAATTTGCATCTCTATTTCCTAGTGTGCTTTACCAATTGTAGTCCGTCGGCCTCGGAACCAAGGTTTTCCACTCGATGCTCGACTCGATGACGTTCGTGCGATCGGTCGGTCATCTTATCGGCGCAGCGACCGGAAAAGTCGAAATTGGCATGAAATTGGATTTGAAGAGGGACCCGTTTTTCACGGGTTCCAATTTGTTTGTTTTTTGTTTGCTGGCTTGTTTGCTTTTTTGTGTGTGTGCGTGTGTACGTGTGTGTGTGGGGGGGGGTTTGTGTGTGTGTGTGTGTGTGTGTGTGTGTGAGAGAGAGAGAGAGAGAGGAGAGAGAGGGCGGAGAGAGGGGGGCAGAGAGAAGGGGCGAGTGGCTGAATGACTGAGAGACCAGAGAGGGAGTTAGTGCGTCTGTGCCCGTGCGGTCTGTCAAGGCGGTTCCGACCTGCACCACTCAGGCCCAGGCCGCACGAGGCTCGGCACGAGGCCCCCTCCTTCTGAGGTGAGCGTGCAACAGGCCCGGTCAGGCCCGGGGTGTGTGCGGAAGGGGGAAGGGGGAGGTTACTCTACTCTCCCTCGTCATGCGACAACAGCGCGCCACGCCTCTAACTTTCGGCGCAGCACGTTCCGGGCCAAGCTCTGCGTGACGCCGCGCTGCGTGCCTTGCGCGCCGCCCTGTGCGTGCCGCCTTGTGCGTGCGGCCATCCGTTGCCGTGGTTGGAGGGCTGGCCGCGCCGCCCTGGACTACAGTGTAGGGGTGGCCCGGGTGGCCCGGGGCGGGCGCCGCGAATTAGCTGATGGCCCCCGCGTCCATTACGGCCAGCAGGCTGAAGAGTGCCTTCGCCGCTCCTGTATGGAACGTGCCGTAGTCCCGTGAGTGCGAGAGAGACAGAGCGACGACAGCACTGCTGTTCGGAACCAGCCTCCTTTGGGGGACGGCTGTGAGGCGCGCAGTGTGGCGCAGTGCTGCAAGACTGGTTTCGAGAGTCGTCGCTCTGTCTCTCTCGCATTCATGGGGCGTCCCTTAGGTGCGAGAGAGACGGGGCGACGAAAACGACTCTCAGCTTGCTGGGTGGCCGATGATTACAGTCTTGCAGGAGGCGAGGCGGCCCGGCAAACCGGCTTTGATTATTTGCATTGTGTGGCGAGCTTGGTGCGCTGGGCGCGAGGCTGGGCGAGCAGCGGCGCGCTGCAGCAGCATCTGCCTGATTGGCTTATCTAATGAAAACAGGCGGCCCTGCAGGGCGAAAGGGGGAAGGGGCGGGGCCGCAGGGCTGGCCAGGGGGGCCAGGGGAGCCAGGGGGGCCAGGGGGGCCAGGGGGGCGGGGCCGCACGCCCCGGACGTGTATGTGGCTTTGAGCCCTGTGGGCTTTGGCACGCGGGGCCCTGCGGGGCCCTCGGGGGGGCAGTCCGGAGCCCGCCAGCGGGAAGAACCGGGCCGGGAACGCGGCTGGAAAAGGGGTGCTGCTGGAAGGGGCGCGGGGGAGGGGCACACAGGAAAGGGGGGGGGGGCACCGGGCGAAGAGGCGCTGGGGAGGGCAGGGCGCGGCAAAGCCTTCGCCACTGGGAATCTCATCCGACGAGATGAAGGGGGCAAAGCTGGTGAGCTTGTTGGATTGTTATTGTCCTGGCCGAGCAAGGCCGAGAGGGCGGAGAGGCTGGTCGAGGGCGCGGCGGGGCGGGCCGTATGGCTGTGCTGGCGGCCGCGCTGCCGTGTCGAGCCCACCTGCCTCCCCCTCCCCTCCATCCCCTCTCTTCCCCTCCCCTCCGCCGCCTGTCCGCCACGCCCCGCTGCTTCATCAGTCCAATAAAACGGGGCGCGAACCGCATTCCAGTCGCCAGGACGGCGCATTATTTTCGGAGAGACGGACTTTATGCCCGGATGTACTCGGTTGTGCTCGTTTGTAATCGGTTGTACCCGGTACTAGGTTGTACTCGGTACTAGGTTGTACTCGGTACTAGGTTGTACTCGGTACTCGGTTGTACTCGATTGTACTCGGTAGTTTTCAGCCGCAGTTTTTTGTACCCGGTTGTTCTCAGTTCAGTTGCACTCGGCCGTGGTTGTTCTCGGCGGTTCTCGGTTCTACTCGGCCGCAAGTTGGTTGTGCTCTTTTGTACTCGGCCGCAAGCCGGTTGTACTCTGTTGTACTCGCCTCTGTAATCGCCTGTACTCGCCTGTACTTTTAATGAGACTGGAATTACGTTATAATTAAAACGGGAGCCGCCGAGTGGCCTTGCACCTGTACGCACGCGGCGCGGCGGGGTGGGGCAGGGCGCGCCGCTGATCAAGTTTATATAATCCCTTGTTATCTCGCGAAATGCGCGCCAGCTTGTGTTCCTCGCCGGGCGTGGAGGGGAGGGGGAGGGGGGTTCAAAGTGGCCCGCCAACGCGCCAACAAGCGAGTATCTCCCGGCACCTCGCGGGCTTTTCTTGTTCCGTGTGTTTCTTGGCTTCTCGGCGCATCAATCACGCTGCAGACTGTTTCCGAGAGTCGTTTTCGTCGCTCTGCCTCTCTCGCACCCATGAGGCGTCCCCTCGAGGCGCGGGAGAGACAGAGCGACGAAAACGTCCCACGAAAATCCGTCCGCTGGCAGCCACTTCCACTCGGAGCTTCGAGGCCCCCTAACCCTGCGCCCCGCTCGTCCCGCAGGGCTCCTGGACGCCGTCACCAAGGCCCTGCTGCTGTCGGAGCGCCACGTGCTGGCGGCCAGGATCCTGACGCTCAACGCCTCCAACGGGGACGTGCTCAACATGGTGGAGTGGAAGTACGACGGCGAGGGTCTGTCCATGTCGGGGCCGTCGCGCACGCACCCGGCCAGCCTGCCCGCCGACCCGGCAGACCTGCCCTGGTACGAGGACGCCGCCACGTCGCCCACGCTGCGCTCCCCCAAGTTCGTCGACTCGCCGGCCAACGTCAGCTACAAGGGCTGGTGGACCTTCCCCTACTTCTCGTGCTCCAACCGGCGCTGGCTGCTGTCCTACAGCGTGCCCGTCGCGCCCACCAACCGCCACATGTGAGTGCCCCGGCGCCCGGCGCCAGCTGCATGCTCATTTCGAGCGCTGTTCTCGTCGCTCCGTCTCCCTCGCACTCGTGGGGCGTCCCGTGAGGGTGCGAGAGAGACAGCGACCAAAGCAGTGCTCGGAGTCAGCCTGCTCCGACTCGTGTCAGCTTTTCAATATTCATTTTATTTATTCGACAATCCTGTTGGATGCGACGGTCCTCACGGCCACGCTCGGTGCTTTCTGCCCGCAGGACCAAGGGCTTCCTCAGCCTGGACGTGGACCTGTCCTCGCTGGAGGTGAACCAGTGCGAGCCCAGCCCGCGCGTGCCGGGGTGGGCGCGGCGCGGCGCGGCGGAGCAGCACCAGGTGGCGGTGTTCCACGGCACCCACAAGTGCGACAACGTGACCACGCAGGTAGGGCGGCGCTGCGCCGGGCTTCGCGGAGGGCCGGCCCGTCGGCCTGCAGTCGTTTTCGTCGCTCTGTCTCTCTCGCACTCGTGGGGCGTCCCGCCTGGGTGCGAGAGAGACAGAGCGACGAAAACGACTCCCCGAGTCCGTCTGCTGGCGGGGACGGGTACACAGAGTAGGTCTTCTTTGTGGAACCAAGCGTGGAGAAGAACTCTACACTCGAAATGCGGAGCTGTCGAGGGGGTAACGACTTCTGGAATCCGGCTGACAGCAAATTGGGAGGTAATTCGGGGTAATCCGGGGTAATCCGGGGTAATCCAGGATTATTTTGGTTGGAATCCGGAGGTAATTTGGGGATAATCCAGGGTAATCCGGGGTAATCCGTAATCCGGCTGACACGAAATTTACCAGTCGTTACCCCCTCGGGAGCTGTGGAATGTTCAGTGTGCGCACTTGGAACACTCTACAAAAAATGTCCTGTCAACGCCGTTAATTTATTACCAATGTTTGCTGTTTTTCAATACACGGCGTTTGCTGTGAACTAGTTCACGTCGTTCACTGTGATCTCGGTTACAGTGTTCACTGTGATCTGGCCACAGTAAACGCCGTGAATTGGAGCCTGATTTGCAGTACTTCGGTGCTCAGCGGCGTCAAACTCACAGTGTTTACTGGGGACCAGATCACAGTGAACACCGCGAACAAGATCACAGTGAATCCCGTGAGCAGATCACAGTAAGCGCTGTGAATTGGCCTACAGTGAAAACTGGTAATAAATTAACGGCATTTACAGGACATTTTTGGTAGAGTGAAGTGCCGATTTTTGCAGTGTCAACACGTCTTGGGTGGAGTTCTCCTCTTTTGCACCGTTCCAGGAGCGGTGTCAACACTTGGTTTCAGTGTCGTAGGGAAGGCCTGCAGGGCTCGCGGAGCAGATGTTGGAGGGCGGAGTTTGCAGGGTGGTGAGCAGGGCGCCACTCTCGCCAGCCTTAAGCGACGCCGCCATCGGTGATGCTTTTCTGGTGCAATCTCGCAGGCCGCTATCGCTTCGCCGACGCAGCCAGCCCAGCCAGCCAGCCAGCCAGCCAGCCAGCCAGCCAGCCCGCGGCAAGGCGAGGCAGAGCGAGGCAGGGTGGCCTGGGGCGGGGGGGTCGCACGTCGGAGGGGCTAAGTTGTGCCTCGTGCTTGTAAACTTGCGGCGAGGGGCGTACCCAGAAGGGGGGGGGGGGGGGGGGGGTGAGACCGGTCATGACCCCTTGGGACCTGAATGTAGGCAACCCACAGGCGCCGATGAGGGCAACTCTGCTTCTTTTTACGTTCACTGAGAAAAATTGAAAGTGTTCTTGGCTGGGCTGAGGTGGCGGCTGTTGCGAGGAAGATCTTGGTTCGATTCCCTGGCGTTTGAATCCTCTACGTACCACTCTGAATGCGGTACCATCAGAGTAAGTTTGGACTAAACTGCTGTGTCCCGGTGGCTCACAGGGGTGGGGCGTTGGCGAGCACGTCATGGGTTCAACTCCCAGGCGCCCTAATCCTTTCGTTGGTTTATCGGCCAAAGCCGGCGCCATCACTGTAAGTTTGGGGTGGACTGCACTCAAGAGGCTCGTTGGCTCAGTTGGCCGATGTGTCGGCTGCCACGGGGTGCGGTCCATTTGGGTACGATTCTAAGGCGCTTGAATGTTTTCTTTAGTTAACCGCTTCAGCAGGCTGGGCCCAGCCGGCCCAGCACACCTGACGGCGCCGGTGGCTCCGTGGGCAAGATGACGCTCGCTACCAGAAAGATCTGGGTTCGATTCCCAGGCACACAATTTTTCATCACTCTACCGCCCAATCCGGACCATCAGTACGAGTCTCTGGACATATAGTGACAAGCGCCTTCGTGGCTCAGTGGACTGCGGTGAAGGTCGCCACGAGGAATGCGTGGGTTCGATGCCCAGGATAATAGTTCTTTTCTCTGATGGGAGCCTTGAGTCCGGTTCCATCATTGTGAGTTAGAGCCCTTCGTTCTGCAGATGGTGTGGTGGCTCAGTGGGTTAGAGTGTCGGTCGCCTTCCAAGGGTTCTGGGTTCGAATCCCAGGTTCTTGCATTTTCATTAGTTTGCCGCTGAATCTTGCACCATCAGTGCGAGTTTCGGGCAGCCCCTCAGCAAGCGGCTCCGTGGCTCAGTGGGCTGAGGTGTCGACCACCACGCGGAGGCCCTCGGTTCGATTCCTGGGTGCGCGAATCTTTTCCTGAGTTTACTTCCCAAATCCTGTACTATGACACTAAGATTGGATGGCTCGAGTCTATGTGTCACCGTAGCTCAGTTGGTCGAGCGATGGACAGGCAGGTGGTGGCACAAGGAGGGCTTGGGTTCAACTCCCAGGCAAGGCGAGAGAGAGGAAGGCGCTGGCACTAGAGGACTTGGGTTCAACTCCCAGGCAAGGCGAGAGAGAGGAAGGCGCTGGCACAAGAGGACTTGGGTTCAACTCCCAGGCAAGGCGAGAGAGGAAGGCGCTGGCACAAGGAGGGCTTGGGTTCAACTCCCAGGCAAGGCGAGAGAGAGGAAGGCGCTGGCACAAGAGGACTTGGGTTCAACTCCCAGGCAAGGCGAGAGAGAGGAAGGCGCTGGCACAAGAGGACTTGGGTTCAACTCCCAGGCAAGGCGAGAGAGAGGAAGGCGCTGGCACAAGAGGACTTGGGTTCAACTCCCAGGCAAGTCAATGAAGAGACTGGTACCAGAAGGACTTGGGTTCGACTCCCAGGCAAGTCAAGAGAAAGAACCCGACAATAAAAGCACTTGGGTTTAAATCCAAGGCAAATTGCAAGTCAACAGTCGATCCCAGAAAATTGTGGAAGACGAAACTTAAAATGTGGCATGAAGTTTTGTAAATGATGTCGTTATATCGATTTCATATGTACACGGAACACAAATTCAGTCATCATTAAATGAAAATAATTTCTTCCTCTGAGTTTCTTCTCTCTATCGACAAAAATTTGATTATTAATGATGTATTACATATTATAGGCACATGGTAAAATAATAATATGTTTTGCCCTCCTCATTTGTATGTTTTCGTCCTGCCTCATATTTTCATCAATTTGCCTGCCTTCCGGATCTTCTCTTATCACTTTTTCTCCCGTTGCACTTAGGGATCTTTTCCTCTCCCAACTGGCTGCTTTACCTGGGGGTTGGACCCAGGTTTTATATTGCCAGTTCCTTCCTCTCTCTCGCCTTGCCTGGGAGTTGAACCCAAGTCCTCTTGTGCCAGCGCCTTCCTCTCTCTCGCCTTGCCTGGGAGTTGAACCCAAGTCCTCTAGTGCCAGCGCCTTCCTCTCTCTCGCCTTGCCTGGGAGTTGAACCCAAGTCCTCTTGTGCCAGCGCCTTCCTCTCTCTCGCCTTGCCTGGGAGTTGAACCCAAGTCCTCTAGTGCCAGCGCCTTCCTCTCTCTCGCCTTGCCTGGGAGTTGAACCCAAGTCCTCTTGTGCCACCACCTGCCTGTCCATTGCTCTACCAACTGAGCTACGGTGTCACATCTGCTGCCGCCATTCAATCTTAGTGTCATTGTACAGGATTTGGGAAGTAGACTCAGGAAAAGATTCGCGCACCCTGGAATCGAACCCAGGGCCTCCCCGTGGTTGTCGACACCTCAGCCCAGTGAGCCACGGAGCCGCTTGCTAAGGGGCTGCCCGAAACTCGCACTGATGGTGCGAGATTCGGCGGCAAACTGATGAAAATGAAGTTGCCTAGGATTCGAACGTAGAATCCTTGGTAGGCGGCCGACACTCTCATCCACTGAGCCACCGCACCATTCGCAGAAGGAAGAGCTCTCACTCACAATGATGGAACCGGACTCAAGGTGTTAATCAGCGGGAAAAGAATTATTATCCTCGGAATCGAACCCGCGCATTCTTCGTGGTGATATTCACCTCCAGCCCACTGAGCCACGAAGCCGCTTCGCTGATGAAAATAGACAAGTGCCTGGGAATCGAAGCAGGATCTTGCTCCGTGACAACAACTGACACCTCAGCCCACTGAGCCAACGGGACATTTCAAACTGTAGGGCGCAAACAAGTTCCCCCTTGGCGGCGGCCGTCCTGGACCCTGGCGACCCTGGTCGAGTTGGCGGCACCGCGCCGCGCCTGTCCGAGGGGCCGAGGCCATGTCGGGCCATGTCGAGGCCGAGGCAGTTGGAAGCAGTTGGAAGACGGCGAAAACGACAGGCGGCTCGAGTAGTGGCCAGCCAGTTTGAGGCTGGTTCCCCATCGTCCTGCCACTCTCTCGCGGCCCTTCACGTCGCCCGGCGTCGCCCCACGAGTGCGAGAGAGACAGGGCGGCTGTTCGGCATCAGCCGGCTGAGCCCCGGCGCTGCACCCTGACTCCGGGAGTCGTTTCCGTCGCTCTGTCTCTCTCGCACTCATGGTGCGTCCCGTATGGGTGCGAGAGAGGCAGAGCGACGGAAACGGCTCTCAGTCTGCTAGGCTTGCCGGCGCCAATCAGACTCCCCCTCCCCGCCATGAATCACTTCAACTTGTTGGGCCGCGCCGCACCGCGCCGCGCCGCCATCACAGCATCGAATCTGCAGAACTCGTCCAAGTTTTCACTCGGCTCTCCGGGCGCCACAGCCGAGGCGCCAGCCCGGCCCGGCAGGCTGCGACTCCGCCGTGCTTTCGCACTGAGCGCGCCGATCGAGCGGCGGCCCAGACCAAGGTGCCCCGGGGCCCCGGGCCCTTGAACCTATCTCGACCTATCTACACCGAACAGCACTCCACCGACTCCCGGTGTAGCTACCCGTTCGGGCGAAACGGAGAGCGCCGTTGCTAGGCGTGGCGTGGCACGGCGTGGCGTGGCACGGCGTGGCGTGGCGTGGCACGGCGTGGCGTGGCACGGCGTGGCACGGCGTGGCGTGGCACGGCGTGGCGTGGCGTGGCGTGGCGCGGCACGGTGTGGCGTGGCACGGTGTGGCGTGGCTGCGCGCCGCCGCCAGGAAATTTGCGTTGGCTGTGCAAATGCGGGCAACAGTTCGCCGGTCCGGAGACGGTGCGAGACTGGAGCGAGGCAGCAGACTGATTCCGAGAGGGTGGTTTTCGTCGCTCTGTCTCTCTCGCACTCGTGGGGCGTTCCTTATGGGTGCGAGACAGACAGAGCGACGAAAACCACCCTCGGAATCAGTCTGCTGGGCGGACCGAGGTGGAGACGTTGACGGTCTAGACGACCTCCGAGGCGAAGAGGCTCCCAGTCCGGCCGGCCTAGGGCCCGGCCTCTGCAGCCCTTCGCAGTGGAGTTGACTCTCCCGCTTTGCTTGCAGTGCGTCCACATTCCCGGCGCGGGCTGGGCGAGGGGGAGCTACTACTGCAGGTGCAGGCCCGGCTTCTACAGCCCCAAAAACAAAGGCATTTTCAACGGCACCGTGGTGGAGCGTGAGTAAAAAGGAACTCTCTCTCTCCTTTTTTACCCTCCCGGTTCACTCTTTCAACCCTCCCCTTTTTTCCCCCGCAGAGGCGTGGCAGGAGTACGAGGAGCAACAGATCCAAGAGGGCCAGCAGCCGGGGCCCCAGCACCAGGCCCACCAGGCGGGGCGGCGCGCGCCCCTCTCGCTGTTCCAGTGCCTCAAGTGCGCGCCCGGCTGTGACACGTGTCGCGGCCCCGACCCCTGCCTCGCCAACTACAACTGGCCCTTCAGGTAGGAGCGCAGCCTTGCAGCAGCGCGCACGCCGAACTTGGCATGGACGGCCTGGCCGTCGTGAAGCCGCATAGACTGATTCCCAGAGTCGTTCCCGTCGCTCTGTCTCTCTCGCTCCTATAAGATGCGCCCTATGAGTGCGAGAGAGACAGAGCGACGGAGGTGGGCGCTGCACTGTCAAATCGCTGCCGCAGAATCAGCCTGCTGGTGGTGTCCGTGTGCTGCGTGGTCATGGTGCTGGCGCTGGCGGCCTACGTGTTCCACAACCGGCGCATCAAGGTGTTCAAGGTGGCCTCCCCCATCTTCCTGGCCATCACGCTGCTGGGCTGCGCCATGATGTACCTCGAGGTAACGCCAACGGCCCGAACGGCCATGCCAACGGCCGGCGCACAGTGGATTTGCCAGAAGGCCGGTGGTGGCGGCCAAAATTCGAGACGCGTTTTGAGCTCCAGAGCTCCAGAGTCGCTAAGCGGGACTCAAGTCGAGCTCGTGACCCCACCGATGGATTCCTCATTCGGAGAGCTCCCGGTCACACGTTCGGTTATAGTCCTGTTTTGCGACTCTGGAGCTCAAAACGCGTCCAGAATTTTTGCCACCTCCACCGGTCTTCTGGCGCGCACTGTGCGACGACGTGGTCGCAATAGAAGTGAGCCACAGTGAATGATTGGGTTGCCAGCTGGCCGCCATCTTCCCCGTGCTGGACCTGTACTCGTGCATCGCCACCAAGTGGACGCGGCACCTGGGCTTCTGCATCACCTACACCGCCCTGCTCATGAAGACGTGGCGGTGAGTACACTGTGTATACACCTGCCCGGCGGCGCTCGCCAACTTCTTGAATCGTTCCGGTGAGGCGGGGCGGGGCGGGGCGGGGCGGGCAAATCCTGCCTGCCAGCCATGCTGGAGAACCGCGTGCAATCAATCCAGTTTCAATTTCGCGCCCTGAATAATTTATGCGGCGACGTCGCGCGGATTCTCCAAGCGCGCAGCTCCTCACGGCCATGGAGCACGGACCACCGCGCACCACGAACCGGGAAGCTCGAAGCGCGAGCCGCAAAGCGCGAGGCGCCAACCGCGAAGCGCGCCCTTACAGAAATGGATCACGTCGTTGTTGGGTGCTAAAAGTGGGTGATAAAGTGTGTCAAAAAAGGGGTTCTCACGGTACCTCCTAGATGCACCACTAAAAGGTGTCTAGCCGCACACACCCTTTTAACCGCGAGAAAGGGGTCCAAAAGGGGGTCTGAGGTGGGTTCCAAAGAAAGTGCCAAAAGTGTGTGTGGGGCATGCTCCGCGTAGGCGAAGCGACGCTGTAGTCGGGATTCGATCCTCGGACCTTTCTGTTATGAGACCTCCACTTTACACCTGAGCCATAGCGCTTCTCCTGTCAGAGGGTCCGCGCGCCGCCCATATGCTTCTACAAGTCTGGACTTGCCAGGCTTGTTTTCCTTGCCGGGCGCGTATCCGAAAACGAAAAAAGAAGAGTATTGCGACATCGCTCCCCCCCCCCCCCCCTTCCTTTCCCCAGGTCCAGGTCCGCGGTTTCTTTCTCCAGTTACAGAAACAATAATTCGCGCGAATATGAAAATTTACGATAGACCTGAGGCTAGAACCAGATTCTAATTATAGAACGCCATCCTCTCATAGAAACCAGGACTTTGCAGGACTTGGAAAGCCGCGACATCGTGACCGTCACTCCTCTGAATAGCAACTTGGTGGCGTGCATGGAGAGTCATCACCTGCGCCGTTCTGCATCGCGTCAAAGGCACCCCTTTTTGGACCCCCTTCGCGTGAAGAAAAGGGGTCCACGTCCGTTGGAGGACCCCCTGAGCTTGAGCAGCAAAAAGGGGGTACTGAAAAGGGCCCCTCGTCTCTTTGAGAGGAGAAAACGGGGTCACGAAGGGGTTCAAATGAACGAAGAGGGTCGCAGTGGGTGATTTTGGTCAAAAGGGGTATGAAAAGGGGCGAAAAAGTGGTCCGCAGTACCACTTATCGACCACCTTCCACAAATCCATTTCTGTAAGGGCGAACCTTGAAGTGCGGGCCACGAACCGCAAACGATGAACCGTAAACCATTAACCACAAACCATGGGCCTCAAACCGCGAGGCGCAAACCGCGGTAACGAAGGCGGTATTCGTTTTACCGCCTTCCAAGTGTGGTACAAAAATTACCGCCCATTAGAGGCGGTAAAATTACCACCTTTCACCGCTGTACCGCCTTAAATTTCCCTCCAAACGGAACATTCAAGGCGATAAAACTGTGGAAGGTGGTAATTTACCGCCTTCAATGGGTGGTAATTTTTGTACCACACTTGGAAAGGCGGTAAAACGAATACTGCCCTCGATTATGGAAATTTTACCATCTTTGGGTTTTGTGTGGAGCTGCCGAATGACCCTCCCCGTCCTGCAGGGTGTCGCTAACGTACCGCGTCAAGTCCGCGCACAAGGTCAAGCTGACGGACAAGCAGCTGCTGCAGTGGATGTTCCCCATCCTGCTCGTCATGCTCATCTTCCTGGGCGCCTGGACGCTCAGCATGCCGCCGCAGGCCGAGGTGATCCGGGACTCGGCGGGGCTGGCCTTCAAGCAGTGCCAGTACAACTGGTGGGACCACAGCCTGTCCATCGGTGAGTATACACTGCAAGACTGCGGCACCGACACATCGAAAAGCCGCACTGTCAAACCGAGTGTGGAGAACTCGTCCACGCTTCCTTGGTGCGGCTTGGACGCGCGGAGTTTGCTGTCTTGACACTTCAAGCGCGCGGAGTAGCGCACGGAGCTCTTGGCATGGAACAAACGTGGACAACTTCACACTTTTGCGGAGACTACAAACTCTGCACTTCCAAGTTGTGGAGACTGCAAACTCCGCTTTTCAGCATTTCGAGTGTAGAGTTCTCCTCACTTGGTTTCACAGTGTAGCCAGAGCAACTGGTGGGACTGCTGCCTGGCCATCAGTAAGTGGACTCTCCACCTGCAGGCCAGGCAGCACCGATATACGGGTAAATCCAGCCAATATCGCCAATTATCTGGATTCGTTGTTGTTATTTTTTTTTGTTGTCCGGCATGTAAGAGGCCGTCCTGCACATGGACGAGGCCCCGTCCCGTCCGCCCCACTCAAAGCCGTCTGGAATCTGGAGAGGCTTGAGAGTCTCCCTCGCCGCGCCCCTCCCCTCCCTCCCCTCCCCTCCCTCCACGCCCGTCAGTTACTCGGCTGACTCGGCTGAAAAATGCCAGTCAGCTGCGGACGGAATGTTCCCCCACCCCCCTCTCCTTCCCTCCCGCCCCTAGCCCTTCAACTAACCGGCCCGGGGCCCTCTGGGTGCAAGAATAAGAGCGAGGGAAAAACGTAAATAAATAAAGTTGGGAATCGATCATCGGGGCATGTCGCAAACGACGCAGAAGAGGGCGGTGAGTCCGGGGGAGCGAGAGGCACTCTCTGCCAAAAACGCCCGAGGCCGGCCGGCAGCGGGGCGGGCGGGGCGGAGCGGGCGGTGGGGGTGATTGAACGGAAACGATACGAGGCAGTGGAGTCCGGCCTGGAGTCCGGCCGGGACTCTGGACTCCAGCATCGCTCGCTTGGCGCGGCTTGGCGCGGCTGGCCGTTGGCCGTCGGCTTGCCGTCGGCGCTGTGGCGGCCGGATATCGAGGGAAACGCGACCCCCTCGCATGGCCGGCCGATTCCACCAACGCCCACGTTTTCGTTTGTTGGGTCCTTTCGCTCACGGCAAAAAAAAAAAAACTTTGAGGTGGTGATTAACCGTGATTAACGTTGTTCGATAGGCTAGATTCGATGGCTGCGATGAGAAAGTCGATAAGTACAACCAGCAGCTGGTGTTGCTAGCCAGACACAAGAGGACATGACAGTGAACTCCAGCTTAGTTGTCCTTCTTATAAGTGTCCGGTAGTGTAGTAGCAACCGACTTGTGGTTGCAGGTATCGACTTTTCGATTGCAGCTATCGAGTCTTGCCTATCGAACAAATTCAATCACCACAAGAAAGTTTTTTTTTGTGGGCTGCAAGTCCTACACGTCCTGGAGTCCTAGAGTGTCGCTAACAGCTTTCCCCACGCGTTGCAGGCGAGGTGCTGTTCCTGCTGTGGGGCATCAAAGTCTGCTACAACGTGCGCAACGCCGAGTCCCTGTACAACGAGGCGCGCCTCATCAGCTACGCCATCTACAACATCGCCATCGTCAACACCACCATGGTCGCCTTCCAGTAAGCTCGCGCGCTCTTTCCCATTTCCCGTTTGGCGCGGCTTGAAATGTGTCAGACGCCGCCTGGCGCTGGCGTGGCCGGCGTGGCCGGCGTGGCTGGCGTGTGCCCACAGCGTGCCGCCGGGCTGCGAAGCTGCGAAGGGAGGCCGATCCTTTTCCTCCCCCGCACACTTTGTTTTTCATTCCGCGCCAGATGGCGGGGCGAGGGTTTTTTCACTCGCGTATTACTCCGTAAGGCATGAGCGTACACTGTCAAACCCAGTGTAGGAGAACTCCACACTTCCTGGGCGCAGACTAATTCTCGACTCTTAGACGTGCGGAGTTTGCAGCCTCAACGCCTCCACAGAGCCTCTAATGCTTGGCGTGGCGCAAACTCGGCACTTGCCACACTTGCAACTGCCACACGCGCGTATAACCGCAGATTGATTCCGACCACTACTCTCGTCGGTCTGCCTCTCTCGCACTCATGGGGTGTCCATAAGGGTGCGAGAGGGATAGACCGACGAGAGCAGTGCTCGCAATCAGTCTGCTCTAGGCGGTTATCAAGAGTTGAAACCCCCTCGTGGTAAGAAGGCCAGCCCGCTTTTAGACCCACCTAACTTCGCGCATGGCTAATTAACCTGAAAGCGTTCATCGGACTCAAGCGGAAAACAAAACAGCCCGCGGGGAGGAGACCGGAGGCCAGCCGGGTTCCCGGAAGCATCGAAACACAACTTCCCTGTTCGCGCCCCCTTCCTCTGGTGCGAGTGGGTCTTGTAGCGCTGCGGCGCGAGGCGCGCGAGGCTCACCCGGCACACTGTTTGCAGCCTCTTCATCTTCCCGCACGCCGGCCCGGACATCAAGTACCTGCTGGGCTTCATCCGCACGCAGCTCAGCACGTCGGTCACCGTGGGACTCGTCTTCGCGCCCAAGGTGAGGCTCATGCAGTGGAGCGCACAGCGGATTTGCCAGAAGACCGGCGCCGGCGGCCCAAACTCTAGACGCATTTTGAGCTCAAGAGTCGCTAAACAGTACTCGAACCGAACGTGTTACCCCACCAACGGATTGCTCTCCGAACGAGAAGCCCATTGGTGGGGTCACACATTCGGTTCGAGTCCTGCTTAGCGACTCTGGAGCTCAAAACGCGTCCGGGACTTTGACCGCCTCCACCAGTCGTCTGGCCCACTGTGGAGCGATTTCGCCGCCCGCAGTCCTCTCTCTGTCTCCCTCGCACCCCTGCGATACACTCCACGAGTGCGAGAGAGACAGAACGAGGAGTGCGGGCGGCGGAATCGCCCGACAGGGCGGAACGTGGAACGCCTGCGAGCGGCGAGGTAGGCCAGCCCGCCGGGCAGCCGTGCGCCGCGGGTTGCAGCCCTCGAGTCGGCGGGCGCTCTGCCTCTCTGTCTCGCCCTGGCTGCCGAGCGATCCAGAAGAGCGAGCGGTTTTTCGCTCTGTCTCTCTCGCACCCTTGCGGCGAGCTCCACGAGTGCGACAGAGACAGACCTCCTCCTTCTCCTGCAGGTGGTGCGCGTGCTGCGCGGCCAGGGCGACCAGTGGGACAACCGCGCGCGCGCCAGGGGCGTCACGGCGTCCTTCTCCTTGAACGGCATCGGCCTGGTCCCCGAGGAGACGGCGGACCTCTACCAGGAGAACGAGGAGCTCAAGGTCAGTCGACCCGGCCTCGGCCTCGGCGCCGCAATCAGACGCGGTTGCCATTCTTTTATGTATCCGCCCGCCCCACAGTGGGTCCACCCACAGTGGGTCAGAAGAGCGGTGGAGGCGGCAAAAACACTCGACGCGTTTTGAGCTCCAGAGTCGCTGAACAGGACTCGAACCGAATGTGTGACCCCACCATTGGATTCCTCGTTCGGAGAGCAACCCTAACACGTTCGGTTCGAGTCCCATTTAGCGACTCTGGAACTCAAAACGCGTCTAGAATTTTGGCCGCCTCCACCGGTCTTCCGGCCCACTGTTCGCCCCTGCCCCTCCCCTGACGATCCTCGTTCCGGTTCCCCCAGGAGGAGATCCAGAAGCTGGCGGCGCAGATCGAGTTCTCCAAGATCGTGGCCATGGAGGTGCACAACCGGCACCTCAAGCCCAAGCCGGGCGGCTACTTCAGCCAGGCCACGGCGGTGACGCTGCAGTCGCCGCAGGGCGGCCAGGGCGGCGCGTCCATCCGCACCACCACGGCGGCGGCCTCGGCCTTCTCCGCCTTCTCGGCGCCGCAGCCCGGCAGCCTCGCCGACAAGGCCGAGAGGGCCGGCAACAACGGCGGCCTGTTCCGCGGCCGCAACTCCATGGGGGACGAGTCCCTGGCGTCCAGCACCTCGCCCGCCGCCTCGGCCGAGGCCCTGGGCCTGGCCCTGGGCAGCGGCAGCGTCGGCGACAGGGCGGAGCGGCTGGACCGGGTGTGACTAGAGGTCAATAGTGAGGAAGTGTGGTTGTGACACGCAGCCGGCGGGGGGCGCGGCCTCGGCCACGGCCAGGGCCACGGCCAGGGCCACGGCCAGGGCCACGGCCACGGCCACGGCCTCGAGCGCGACGACGAGGAGACGCTGCAGTACCGCCTCACCTACGTCTCCAGCATGGTGTGAGTCGCAGCGCGCCCCCTTCCGGAAGAGATGACAAGTTCAAGTTCAAGTTAGGGGTTCTAACTCACGGCCTTGGGTTGGCTTCACATCCGTAACTTGGAAGGAACAGGCTTTTTCTAGATTGTCGAGAGGAGCGAGCCGAGCGTCGGAGGGAAAAGAGAGTTACCCGACTTGAAGCATTGGAGGTACGGCCCTGCTGAGCGACGCGGGCAGAGGCAGAGAAGCTGCATTGTGTGCAACAGACTCTGTCTCTTGGAATGAGAAGGATATTTCGGATTAATTAATGTTATTTGTAATCTCTATAGATTTGACTGTGTCTGTCGCAAAGTATTAGAAGGAACTGCTTGCTCTCTTCTTTTTTCAGATGCATTGTTTTGCGAGAGAATGGAACGATTCTTCTAAATTGGGTTGCCCCGAAACAATGCGACTTGCTTTCTTACTGCGTTCATAGATATGCTCTTCATGTTTGCTGGGCTTTAGAGGTGAATGGTGAATGAACCATGGGGCATTGCAAACCACTTTTCCTCACTATTGAGAATTGAAGCTTCCCATCGGAAAGGAACATTTGTAAATAGTTCATCAAATAACGTGTGCATAAAATAAATTGTGCCAATATTTTCGAGATTGGAGTTTAAGATTGATGTAGAAGTAAGGTGACAAATCCGCTGGTGCCAAACAAACAAGAAGTGAGATGCGACTACACAGGGTGTCTTTTTTATGTTTGCGAAGCGCAAAGGGGGTACTTGTTGGGGTGCATGGCGCATGAAGCGCTCCAACTATAAAAGCTAAGACATGCCCTCGGAAATACAGGAAAACACTCCTGAAAGTCCCTTTTTTTCGTTTTCAAAATGTTTAAAAAAATATACCTGTGTTAGTCATGGAGGGGGGGTGATGTGTGGAATGAAAGACTGAAAGAAGGTGAGATGCACCAGTATCAAATTTTAAGTCATAAACTAAAAAGCTGAAGGTATCCCTACTCTGGGATAATTGCTAGGTAGAACTGTACAGTGTACAGACACCTTAGCCCTAAAAATAAGTTGATAAGAAAGTAGTCATGTGTGACATTAATATGGTGTGTAGGTCTGCTTCTGACCTTGTTATCTTCTCCCTTAACTTTAGTGTCTTATTGTGAGCCCAACATGTAGAATGAATCTGTCATCATTTTTCTATTGATTTAGAATTTAAGATTGACTTACTTCACAGTGAGGGGGGGTCGCAACGACAAAATATACAAAAATTGTATTTAAAGAAGATTAACTTATTGACTCTGAAGTAAACTTTTGTTTATGAGAGTAAGTTAATTAAGCTACCCAAAGCTGTGATACAGAGATTTAAAAGTGATTTCCGTATTATTTTAAGTATTGCATCCAGTGATCATTGTGGTCAATTGAAAGACCAAATAAGGATTTTTCCAATGTTTAAAAAAGAATTCTTTAAAAAAGAACCCATTAAACAATGCTGTTTGAATCATAAGTGATTTTTAAAAAAGAGAATGCTATGCTTCTTCTAATCGTTCAGCTAATATTTTTTATATTAGGATGAAATGCACAAATGCACCACTTGGGACCAAACTGTTGGAAGAAAATGTAACTCAGACGGGAAGAATTCTCACGGCCTAATTCTGCTAGCTCCTATAGCACTTTGGTGAAGATTTCACTCAAAGCTACAAAAATAACTTTTCTTTTGTTGCTTATCACAAACCATTTTCATGTGTTAACTGACTTTACCATCAAGCAGTAGGACATGTTAAACATGTTAAATGTTTTATGAAAGGCTTATTGAGACATTAAGGATTAAATCCAGAAAGATGAGGAACTTCTTCCCAATTGTACATCTGAGAAAACAAAATCTCCCAAAGGAAGAGCTGAAAAAAAATCTGATAACAGTGGTAACTAGAAAGTTATTGCATTTGCAATACAAGTGGGTGCATTTTCAAAGCAAAAGGGTTAAAGATAAATTTACTGCCCCTTGAAACAAAGACAGTATAATTTGCCACTTAGCCTCAATATTTGTTTTAATTTTAATTTTGGTCCAAGAAATCTCATATGTTGATTTATGTATCAAAACTTATTTCCATCTGGTTTTTACTTTTGAGGGACAAATCTGCCAGTGTTGAATCAACCATTGAACAGGAGGAATGCAAATCTTATGCCAGAATTGAAGCACTAGAATGTAACTAACAACCTATTGACTTTCTTGTTTAGGATGATATTTGACCTACGCCAGTGACTGTCAGCTTATCACCTGCGGTTAAATTACCAGTGAGATGAGGGCACACTATACTGATGAAATTAATGCTTGAAATGAAATAACAGTGCAAAACAGGCAGAAAAATGAATTTGGGTTCTTGCCAAAGGGGAACTTTTGAAACCACATTTTATGAAAATGAACAGTCAGCTAAACTTAACATTTTAATCTATTAATCCAATTATTTGTAGCGTAATAATCTCTTTCAAATAACTCAAGCTTACTTTGCAAAGCATCATTTAGTAGGAACGCTTTGTAGAGGAACACTACCTACACGCATGGCGATCGATTTAACGGTGAGCACCACTCATCGGCCAATACAGATGAGTCATTTCGTCTTATTAGCATTAAACCTATGATATCAATATAATCCTATCATGTTTGCGTAGCTTATTTAGATCTCTATCATATTCATATACACGTTTATTACAAGTTCAATTTTTATTGTAGTCTTTAGTCATCCTGTGAATTAAGGGAGATGCATGCAGGAAAAAGTACTGAGCCCCATACTTCCTTCAACATTTCACTGGTTCTCTGAAAACAAAATTTTGAAGTGCCATGAAATTATCTCCCTTCCTTCAACAGAGATGAAACTTAATTGAGTAGTTTCACTATTCAAGTTATATGTGTTTATGTAAGGACTGGTTTCATGTCCCATAAAGTGGATAGAGAGGAGCAATACAAGTAATAAAGTAACCCTAGAGTAAGCCCCAAATTCATCAAAGAATAGGAATAACAAACCAGCACTAAATTTTACAGAGCAGTAATTAAATCAGCTGTCTGAACTGGCAATACTTTTAACCCAAATCAATGGAATATGGAAAAATTCATACTTATATTTACGAGAAAGCGATGACTGCACGTAAAAGCCCTGATAAATAAAAGTTTGTAGTCATCAAAAACCTAGAAAAATTAAAGACACGGAGCATTCTATTCTCTTATATATTTGGTTGATAATGCATAGGCATATTTGCAATTGTGTATTATTATTTGCCTTGTCCAGCTTGCAAAGATAAAAATTAACCCATACAACTCAAATGTAAATAATATGTTGGAAAAATTCGTTACATTCTCTTCATAGATGAAGACAGAGTGGTGATAACATTAGTTGGGTTTGCATGTAGAACATGAAGTCAGCAGCTATAGAATAGAACTTGATCTGAGAATGAAGCACAATCCTACTGTAATGCTGACACCACTGTGTCTGTGAAGCTTAACATATTTGAGGATGCATGGATAAAATTGAATTTACTAAAATTAAAAGCAGTACATAGGGTTGCACGCTTGTGAAATCAGTGTGCTTTCACCAGCAAACAACAAATGAGAAGCATGTAACTTAAATTCTAATAAAGATGTGTAGAAATTAGTTTGGTGTGATATGTCCAACCACTGGACTTCTGTCCTGCGGTGCAGTCGTGTTATTAGAAAAATAAAATAGTTGCTATGGTGATTTCCACATCCCCAAAGATCACAAATTGTTTGTTCGTCTCAGTTGATCCCCTCCCATGGTCCTATCACATCAACTGTGAGTTACGGATTTTCTTCACACGAGTCTTAACATGTGAATGCATCACAATATTGTCACAGTACAGACAAGAAGTACTCAACCATTTGGTGCCTCCTTTCACGTAACAAATTCATTGGGGGCGACTTCTGTTGAAGCATCCTGATGAGTTATTTCTCCATCCAGTGCTTCTTTTGAGGTGGAATCAGGTGGTGGTCCAGGAGAGTCATTCCCATCAAGTCTTTCATAATCATTAACTGGCTCTTGGTTTCTGTAAAAACACCTTTCCAAATCAGTAGTTGAAATAATACAAATAAAATAAAATACCATATGTGAACATTTAAAGAAAGGTGTCCATATATGATATATGAGCAATTTGGTATTTTTCCAGGAGAGGAGATAAAAATGGCTGAAAGTTCAAATAGGTTTATGATACTCAAAAAATATTTATTTGCATTTTTGCAAAAGTGATATAAAGTGCACAAAAATGGGTGCAAAAAAATTATAACAGATATTATCACATGTTATCATTTTTTCCCTCTAAGCTAACTTCAGTTGGGAAAAAATGATCAAAATACAGAGTAAAATCATTTCTGACAAACAGGGAAAGAATAGTTAATGGAAAACATGGAAGCCACATATAGAAATGAAACAGTTGTTGTTTTGCTTGAAAAGTCTTTGATAACACTACAATGTTTGTTTTATAAGCTACTGGGTGGTTGGCGGAATAGAACTAAAATGACCATGCTGCTACAATCTACACCATGCATGAAATGTAAAAATACTGGAAAGCGAAGTCTTATGTCTCTTGATTATCACATATAAGTAGAAACGTCATATGGCTTGGAAGATGCGGTTCTGAAATAAAAATTAAGTGAAAAATGTGCTGTTGTCTCAATTTACAAATCAAGAGTATGCGCTCAAGCATGCTGATTAACAGATTATGTATTTTGGCAAAAACTGTTCTAATAGTTTACAAGAGATAATTTTTCTTCTAATCTAAATCTCTGATATCCCAACATCAAGAACATACCCACCAATACTTAGAATCACTACTTCTACAAAATTAGTTATGTTTCTACCACAACATTTAACTTTACAGCATGCAGAAAGGTCATAATGATACCAACAAAAGGAATGAAACAAAGGGGTCAATAAGAAGCAGTGCACGTACCTGTACAGAATATAGTGCTGAACCATGAAAAAGATATCAAACAAGACTGAAAACAGTCCCAGTCCAAACTTGGTCGGAGAGCCAAAGATTGATGACCAATCGTCTGTGCAAAAAGAAAAGAACACAAAAAAAAAAAAAACTTTATGTAAGCAACAGTTTTTGTTTTCTTTCTTTCTTTTTTTAAGATGAAAATTGTGTTTTACAAGTTAGAACAAGAAAAGAGAACTTACTGAAGTTGTAAGCATCAAGCACCATTTGAAGGACACTGAAAACACCGCCAGTGAAGTCGCATAAAATATTTCCTATGCTCCAACCAACAGTACTTTTACGTTGATAATTCATATAACCCTAGAAACAACATTATAATTAATAACATTCATGACTTCAGAGAGCATCACTTAAGTATCACCCAAAATACAATACCTGAGGAACGTATTTAATAAGCGTAATGGTAAGCTTAACATAGGAGCAGTAGTACAGGAAATCCAGCCACGATAAGACTCCAAAAACAGAACACAGCAAGGAAATAAAGAGGAAACAGAAAAATACTCCTTGAATGCACTTGGCCACAATGGACACGGTTTGACCACCTCGCTGAAACAGTAGAATTGAATCAATCAATGTAAGTTACCAGACAACTAGGACAACCATAATAAATTAAGAAGGATCATACCTCGTACATAAAACATTGAATGATAGTAATTAAAGTGAGAAGCACAGCATGAACAGAGAAAAAAATGTCATTGGGAAGAACGGGTATAGAACTGTGCATGTGTCGAGCAAGGTATTGTTCCTGAAACATAAAATAAGCATGGATATCATGAATTACTTGGTAATTTTAAACAATAATTCACACAAAAAACAGACCTGTATGGCAGGTATCCAATACAGCCCACAGTTAAATATTGAATAAAGGGAGAATCCGATGAGGTTTAGTGCAACAAAGTCAAAATTGAGGCCAACCACACTGCAAATGCAAAGTGAAACAATATGTTAAACCACAAATTTAAGTAACAATTTAAGCAACAAAGTTTCAAACTTGATATGAACAAAAATACAACCTTTTGCGTTTCCAGTTTTCATAAACTTGGGGATAGAATGAAATTGACCAAACAACAAAATAAATCCACCCAATAACTGTGCTAGCTATGGCAATCACGTCAGAGTATTCTGATGCCACTTTAACAAATGCATTATCAGTGCTGTGAGACATGAGGAACACATTAATTTATTGAAAGTAGATAGTTGAGCAAAAAGCACACTTACGGTACATACTTTATGGCTGGGGATGAAACATTAGTGCTGATCTCTACATGGCCAGGAGAAAGTCCAAACACTTTGATGACCTCACTAAAGCCCTGAGAAGCATTGGCGGGTATGTCCACTTCACATGGCTCCGCTCGCACTATATCGGCATATGAGAATGCAAACTTGACGTTGATGTCTTCAGTCAGTGCACAGCTACAGATCAAGAGATCAAGACATACAAAATTAAACTTTAAATTTAACAAAATTTTCAAAGCTGATGATAAAAGATACCGTACTAACTTGGATAATGAAAGTTTGAATGTTACTGGTTCCTCAACAACAACTGTTAGATCTTGTGGGTCAATCAATAAGTTGCATGTTTGTGCTTGAGCACCTGAAACAAAAGTCCGTGGCTGGAAAATGCTGTTGACTGTCATCCACAAAAATTGAACTTAAATGCGTACCCCACAACAGAACGATGGTAATGAACACCTGAGGCAGAAGCATTGCCATGACTGGTCCCAAATAAGGCAAAAATTTACAAAAAATAAACCCTGTTCAGCTGCAACACTAAAGTTCTTCCTGAAAAAGAGAAAAAAGCAATGTTAAACGTACAGTTTCGAGTCTGACCAAAGTCGCTCCAGATGGACAAGAAACATTTCAGCTCAGCATGAATGAATATACTTGTCATCCTGTAATTTCTTCTTAAAATTGAAAACAAGGAGGTGGGACGCCTGAGAATTTGTCAATCATCGGAATATAATCGAAAAGTCTTATGTAACTAACCTAGAGAGCGGGTGCCGCCACTGTGCGGTGACATTTCCGAATCATGACAACAAACCGCAGCGGCATTTTAGAGAGCCGTTTCGATTCACGTTTGCTCCAGGCGGATGTCAAGGCGCCGCTGCCCTGCCCGCTAAGGCATGCTCAAGCCACATGCCCCGGGCGTGTCAATGTTTAGGACATCCTTTGACACATTTACAAAAAGACGCGGCGCGGCTAGCAGACGACAGCTGCAGGCTGCGGACTCCCCTCCCCCTCCCCCTCCCACAAACACGTTTGCCAACAAGCCGACGTACATTGGAAGAAGTCACAGTGAACCTTCTGGAAATTGAGACAAACGAACTAGACAAAGGATGCTTCAAAAATCGAGAGAAACGATCAGTAAAACGACGTTCAATGGACATTTATTGCCCCTAATGAAACATGAAGATTGAGAGATGCAGCATGCAGCGTTTGGCACATCGGGCGCCAGTTTCAAACCGAACGGTCTTTCGTCCTCAAGTCACTTCAAGTCCACCGCCCCGATCCGAAAATCGTTTCTACGCTGTCTCTATGGCACCTCTCGGGGATCCACCTCCAGTGCGGCAGAGAAAGAGCGACGAAAGGACCCTGCGGGTCGGGATCAGGCGGTAAAGAGGACACTGACACTGTTGGTAAACTTGGCAAAGAGTACTCTCAGGGTTCATTCAATTTCGAGGTGGTTCGTACCGAACGAACCGCAGGCGGTTGTGATGACGCGGTTCGGTCGGTTCGTCGTCCTGTCTCTCTCGCACTCATGGGGCGTCCGTCAGGGGTGCGAGAGAGACAGGACAGCAGAACGCACTGAGAAAAACGATCGGACGATCAACTTCGGCGGCCAATATCCGTGCAAGCCCGGCCGCGCGTGTGCAGTCCCTTACAGAAATGGATTTGTGGAAGGTGGTCGATAAGTGGTACTGCGGACCACTTTTTCGCCCCTTTTCATACCCCTTTTGACCAAAATCACCCACTGCGACCCTCTTCGTTCATTTGAACCCCTTCGTGACCCCGTTTTCTCCTCTCAAAGAGACGAGGGGCCCTTTTCAGTACCCCCTTTTTGCTGCTCAAGCTCAGGGGGTCCTCCAACGGACGTGGACCCCTTTTCTTCACGCGAAGGGGGTCCAAAAAGGGGTGCCTTTGACGCGATGCAGAACGGCGCAGGTGATGACTCTCCATGCACGCCACCAAGTTGCTATTCAGAGGAGTGACGGTCACGATGTCGCGGCTTTCCAAGTCCTGCAAAGTCCTGGTTTCTATGAGAGGATGGCGTTCTATAATTAGAATCTGGTTCTAGCCTCAGGTCTATCGTAAATTTTCATATTCGCGCGAATTATTGTTTCTGTAACTGGAGAAAGAAACCGCGGACCTGGACCTGGGGAAAGGAAGGGGGGGGGGGGAGCGATGTCGCAATACTCTTCTTTTTTCGTTTTCGGATACGCGCCCGGCAAGGAAAACAAGCCTGGCAAGTCCAGACTTGTAGAAGCATATGGGCGGCGCGCGGACCCTCTGACAGGAGAAGCGCTATGGCTCAGGTGTAAAGTGGAGGTCTCATAACAGAAAGGTCCGAGGATCGAATCCCGACTACAGCGTCGCTTCGCCTACGCGGAGCATGCCCCACACACACTTTTGGCACTTTCTTTGGAACCCACCTCAGACCCCCTTTTGGACCCCTTTCTCGCGGTTAAAAGGGTGTGTGCGGCTAGACACCTTTTAGTGGTGCATCTAGGAGGTACCGTGAGAACCCCTTTTTTGACACACTTTATCACCCACTTTTAGCACCCAACAACGACGTGATCCATTTCTGTAAGGGGTGCGCCTTGACAGAAGTGCAGGCGATGCAACCCTCCCCCACCCCTTCCGTTGAATGAGGGCAGATAAGCCAAACAGAGCCGCGCGTCTGGACGGCCCGACGTACTCGTTTATCGGGACGAGATTACAGTGCAGTACCAGGAATGGTTTCTCTCTGACTGAACTCGCCGCCCCGCCCGGTTCAGCTCCGGTCTCTACACTCTAAATGTCTTACAATGAAATTTGCCCTATGTTATTCGTATGTTACAGTGAAATCGGCGCAAGCATAATACGAAGCAATATTCCTTCGTAATACGAATCTTTTTAGCTTTTTCATTGTAAGATACAAAGAAAAACCTTCGTAATACGAAGAAAAGCCACCTTCGTATTATGCTTGCGCCATTTCCTTCGTATTATGGAAAATGTCTTCGTAAGACATTTAGAGTGTACCGCACTCGCGGGCCGTGGGGCGTCCCGTGGGAAGCGAGAGAGACACAGCGACGAAACGGTCCCTCGGAATCAATCAGGCGGCAGTGCACTGTTCAGACTCCAGGCGAAGGAGGAGGGAAGGACCGGGCGGCCGGCGCGCGCGCTGCCCCTGACTCAGCTGGTGACGAGTGCAATGCACTGTGTGACTGGGTGACTGTGCAGTGCAGCCGCCAGCAGTGTGGCAGCAGACCGATTCCGAGAGTCATTCTCGTCGCGCTGTCTCTCTCGCACTTAAACAGGAAGTCCCATGAGCGCGAGAGAGACAGAGCGACGTAAACGACTCTCAGTCTACAGTGTCGTAGTGCACACGGCGCGGTTCGAGGTGGCGAACGAGGACGCCGTCGAGAACACAATGCGCAGCATGCGCGGCAAGATGTCGACGTGGTGGCCTTTCAAAGACCTGCAGTGCAGTGCGCGCGTGCGGGGCGGGGCGGGGCGGGGCGGGGCGAGGCGGGGTGGGGCGGGGTGGGGCGGGGCCCGCGGCGTGGAACCCGTCCAGCCGTTCAGTTCAATCCGGGACGGAAGCCGAACGACCCCGAAACCCGCTGACCTCCGCTCCGCTCCGCTCCGAGCGCCTCGAGCTGCCGCCTGCTTCCGAAGGAACCGTTCCGTCGCTCTCTCTGTCTCTCTCGCACCCGCACGGGGCGCGCCATGAGTGCGACAGAGACAGAGCGACGGCGGCGACGGCGGCTGCACGCGGCCGGCCGGGGAATGACAGCGCCTCGCACCTGTGCCAACTAAACCGCCAACACTGCAAGCGAGCATGCGAGCAAACCCACTGGCAAGTCTCCTTGCCACTCCAGTGGCGCTCCGATTTCCGTGCCCAAATTTGGCGTTCCTTGCCGCTAGGGTGCCAAATTTTAGCATTCTCCGAGGGCAATCCGGGCCGGAAGGGCAAATTTTGGCATTCAAAACGGAGCGCCACTGGAATGGCAAGGATACTTGCCGGTGGATTTGCATTAAACCGCGGCAGCACTCTGTTTTCCTCGTTTTCTTCGACCGAGTCGAGTCTCTCTCCCTATCCCATTCCGCCTCGAGTGCTCGCTGCGTGAGTGCTGCTTGCGGGCCTTGCGGGCCATGATGTCACCGGGCTCAATGGGGCTTTCAGATTCAGCGGAATCCGTAACTAAAAGATTAGCCGCGTTTACGAGCGCACCGTAATCTCGCTGTCGCGTCGTCTCGAAGTGTCAAGTGTGAGCTTGCCTTTACGTCACGCTCCACTGTACTTCAGTAGCCCTCGAGAGGGTTGCCCACTCCGGGAATCGCGTGTTTACAATCAGCCTGGGCTCGGAAATCGCTCAAAATTTGAACGAAAATCTCGAAAGTTTCAATGGAAAGTCATCGTTTTTCATGTAATCCTCCAGTCTACAAAATGTATAGGGAATCCCCGAGGGGGTGCCACTTGCCACTTCATCAAGTCATTGTCTGAGGCCCGGAGAAGTCAAACTTTCAGTAAAAAGTTTCATTAGAGGTCAAAAAGCCGCTCCACTAAAAAAAGGTAGAGAAAAGTCATTTCTATTCATTTTTTGGGAGAAATCGCCAACATTCTGTTTGCTGCATCCTCAAATAAGTCGAAAAAGTCACCAAAAACCTTGAAAGACGCATAACAGTCCATGATTTCCTCTGAGCTCCAACAGTTTACGGACAGTCAATCTAGTTCCAAGTCATTGTCCTCCCCCATCGAGAGGTACCCATCTTGGGAATTCCCTATTCCCCCAGTCTCGCCCCCAGTTAAGTTTCCACTGTGTGCGACCAGCATGCTCAAGCGCAATGTTACACCACGCGGTGTAAAACACTAGCTTTACCAGTGTGGTGCGCATTCCAATCAGCATTCCGGCCGATTACGTCTTCGAGGCACTTCGGGCTCGGTGGCGTACACTGGCAGTGGTCACGCCCCGAGTCAGCAGTGTAGCGTCACGCCGGGAGCGGGAAACCGTGGCAAACCGAACCAAGGAAACGCCGCGCCGAAAAATAGTAAAACTCGCTTGGCGCCACCGCGTTACACTGTCGTGACACTGTCGTTACACTGCACCCCAGCGCACTCCAGAGAAGCGCCCGCGTTGGGAAACAACTCGCGGGGCACTAACCGCTGCCACTTTTCCTTCTCACGGCGCCGACACACTGGAAGACACGCACGGCGCGCGGACGACGTCGACGACGACGACGGGGTGGTGCACGACAACGCACTGCGGACGTTCTCGCGCGACGCTCTGCCTGGTTGACGCCGACCCGGCGCGACGCTCCGTGTCAACTGGCGGCACGGCGGCACGGTCCGACGGAACCACCCGCCGTACCCGCGGCGGCGTCGCCGCGTGGCGCGGCGCGGCGCGGCGTGGTGCGGCGTGGCCAGAAGGCCGGTTCCGAGTAGTGCTTTGTCGTTCTTTCTCACTCACAGGGCCCGAAGCGACGGCACGTGAGTGCGAGAGAGACAACGCATTCTGTTTGGGATTACTTGCAGAGCGGCACGCGGCCCGGCTGACCTGCAGCCTCACCGGCCGACGGGCCTCGTGACACCGGTCCTGGAGACTGAATCCGAGAGTCGTTTTCGTCGCTCTGTCTCTCTCGCGCTCATGGGGCGTTTCTTGTATGTGCGAGCGAGGCAGAGCGACGAAAGCGACTCTCGGAATCAGTCTGCTCGATCCCGCTGCCCCGACTGGACTTCCCCGCCCCGCCCCACCACCTCACCCCACTCCGCCCCGCCCCGCCCCGCCCCGCCCCGCCCCGCCCTGCCCCGCCCCGCCCCGCCCCCACTACACGCTCCCATGAGGAGGAAAGCCCCCCGGCCCTGGGCAAATAAAATGCTGGCCGATGCTGGCCGTCGGCCGATAAGCTGATCCAGAAGGCCGTGACGCACTCCGGGCGCTGCATTCCTCGGTGACCCGAAGTCCACGACGAGTCCACGGAGGGCAGCAGCGCCATAAACTCGAAATTTATGGGTCCCTTCGGCACGCCGCGCCGGCGTGATCACTAGCGTGGTCGCTAGCAGCCCTGCCGATGTTGCAAGATAGTTGTACACGCCATGACTTTTCAATGGCTGGGTGTGAGTTGCGGGGCTCATCAGATTTTCAATCTCGCTCCTCTCTACGTGTCTTTATTTTTCATTATTTTATCTAAAAGGTGATCTAAAGATCTAACGATGATTACTTTCTTATAGGTAACAGTACAAATAAACGCTCAAGTCTTATCTAAAAAGCGCGACACAAAACATTCAGAATGGATGCCAGTGACGCACCGTCGCCACTGCCCCACAGTCAGGTGGAGCAGACCGCGGCGAGGGCCATGAGGCTCTGCTCCTTGGAGACCGAGGGCGGGTCCGTCTCCGCCGTGGCGGCCTGCTTGGAGTGCCCGGCGTGCTCGGCGTGCTTGGGGTCGTGGCGGCTCCCCGCGCCGGGCGGCACCGTCGCCGCGGCCGACCGGGCAGCCGAGCGCGCGGCCGCCGCCCTGGCCGCCGCCGTGACCCAGGACGCGAGCCTGGCCGCCGAGTCGACGCTCGTGTCCATCACGAGCACTACGCGTGCTACGCGTACTTCGGGGCGTCGACGGCCACGGTCCGCGTGCAGATGAGCAGCACGACGAGCACCAGGGAGCTGAGGGTGGCGGCGGCCGCGCCCGCCGTGCCGGCCGTGCAGCCGTGGCGGCCGTGTCGCGCCGACAGCGCGGCCAGCAGGAACACGAAGGCCCCCAGCAGCACGGACAGCCCCACCGATAGCAGCAGCAGCGCCTGCCAGTAGTGGCGCCGCGACCACGCTGCAGAAATATCATCATTTCAAATGAAAAGAAATAAAAACAACTCGTGGCAGCGAGATTGAATCGCAAGTCATGCCGCGTGGGATGGGCCTCATAAACGTGCCCCAAAAATTGCAACAACGCTCCAGTGTGCTGTTTGGTGTTTCTGGCCGCCGGGCACCGCGAGCACGGCGAGCACTGGCGGACGCGGCGCACTGACGCGACACCTGATGCGCGAATTCGGCGCGGTGGCGGCGGTGACCTTGCCACCGGCACTGCCGACTCATCCGCTCTGTCTCTCTCGCACTCGCGGGGCGTTCCGTAGGAGTGCGAGGGAGACAGAGCGGCGAGGCGTTCGGAACCAGTCCGCCGCGGCGCCGTTCGCGGGGCGAGGCGAACGACCAATCATCGCGGCACGCTCGGATTGGCACGTCTAGCCCAAAAGCATAATAACGTGTGAACTCACTAACTCACTCACCGTCGCTCAGGAAGAGCTCGGCGTCGAGCCCGGCGGGCAGCGCGTCGTCCGGGACTGCGGCCGAGCCGTGGCTCCAGGTCCTGGTGGCGTTGTCGACGGCGGCGGCACCTGCGGGTCAGGCGGGTTGCAGAGGCCGAGCGGTCGAGGCCGTCGGAGGCAGGCAGAGATATCGCCAGGGCGCAGCGGGAATGCGAATGAGATGTGGCCCTGGCTCGGGACCGGCAGCACCGGCAGCACGGTGGGACGGACAAGCAGTGCACCGAGCGGCCCGCGCCAGGGTCAATGGCAGTGATAACGCGCGCCGGTCAAACATAAAGTAAACAAAGATCACGGCGTGCGCATGTGTGCGTGTATGCATGTGTGCATGTGGGTTCATGAAGGCGTGTGAGTGCGTACGCATGTGTGTGTGAGTGTGCCTGTGAGTGTATGTGTGTGCGTGTGTTTACACAACGGGGGCATTGGCACGTTCTGGGGCCGTCGCCAGCGTGTTTATTGGCTCCGATTAGGTTTGGTGGGGTTGGTCCACAACGAGCTACGAGGCAGGATTACCCTGCGTTGAAAGCGAAACCCTTGTCTTCACTCGGCGTGGCTCTGGCTAGCGCCGGCTAGCGCTCAGGCGAGACGGCTGGCCGCCGTGGCGCGTGGCAGGGCGGCAGGGCGCCGTGGAGGTAGGCCTCCCAGCGGCCACTGCCGTGCGTCGGGCGGCGGGCCAGGCGGCGGTGCGGCGGACTCACTTGTTGGGCTGGCGATCATGGTGCTGCTGGTGTGGCTAGTCCCGCCGAGGCACTGGAGGGGCTTCGACGGGCAGCCTCCACGGCGGCGCGTCCGCGTCGAGGAGATGCAGTGCGCAGGGCGCACGGGGCGCGTTCGACGAGGCGGCACGGCGGACACTCGCGGTCCCAGCAGCCGGCCGCCTCGATAAAGTCTGCCCCGGCCCCGGGCCGCCACTGCCCACTGCAGGATTCGGGGCCCCTCGGACCGCGCGGCCCGGCCGGCAGCGCCAGCCGCGCCAGGGCAGGCCGCCGTCGTGGCCGCCATCCGCGGGCAGAGTCTCGCGCGGCGTGGCTTCGGGCGCGAGGGCGAGGCTCGGGGCGAGGGCGCGGAGTGGCCGCGTCAGAGCATGCGGTTGAGGAAGCCGCCGCCGGGCTGCGACGCGCGCACCTTCTCGTGCTCCAGGCTCCACGTGGACCACGCCGCCACCCACAGGCCGTACGTCGTGAGCGCCGCGGCGGCGCCGATGAGCGTGCCGCCCACCGCCACGGGCCAGCGGCGGTAGGAGTGCCCCACCAGCAGCAGGGCCAGCATGAGCAGCAGCCCGGCCAGCCACACCGGCAGCAGCAGCACCCAGTAGACCACCACCTGCGCACCGCGCGAGCAGCGCGTCAAAGAACCGGCCGGTCAGGACTCGCACTTTGTCACCCACCCACAGTGGGCCAGAAGACCGGTGGAGGCGGCCAAAATCTCGGACGCGTTTCGAGCTCCAGAGCCGCTGAATGGGACTCAAACCGAACGAGTGACCCCAATGGATTGCTCTCCGAACGAGGTGGGGCGTCACACGCTTGGTTCGAGTCCTGTTTAGCGACTCTGGAGCAGCTCATAACGCGTCTAGAGTTTTAGCCGCCGGCGCCGGTCCTCTGGCCCACTGTGCCATCCTCGCCGCACCGTTAATGGGCCAAACGAGTCCATCGACGTAATCGGTGCAACCTTGCCCTTATCGGCGGATAAGCCAGTGTGCCAGCGTGCCCGCCCGGCGCCCTAGGACCTGGGTCCTAGCGCGCCGCTAAGGCCATGGCTGGCGTCGTCCCGTCCCGCCCGCCGCGCCGCCGGCCGGGAGAAACTAGCTTCTTCACTAATCCCGGTGACTCGTATTCTTGAACGTATTGGCCGCCGAGCTCCACTGGCGGCGGATCCAGGGGCAGGTGAGGGGGGGGGGGAGTACCGAGGGGAGTACCACCCCCAGCCACCCCCAGGTTGCCGCCTCTGGATACCTCTGGGCCGCGGCCGCCAAGGAAGCCCCGACGTCGCTACTCACGTAGTGCAACAGGTCCGCTTGGCATCGCTCGTCGCAGGACAGCATGGCGTGGGTGTGGTCGCCGAGTCCTTGACCGGCCACGTGTCCTTCGCGTCCTCCTTGTCCTTCCCGCCGCGTCGCGCCTCCTGGCAGTCCTGGCCGTCCTGGCTGTCCTGGCCGTCCTGGCAGTCCTGGCCGTCCTGGCCGTCCTGGCCGTCCTGGCAGTCCTGGCAGTCCTGGCAGTCCTGGCAGTCCTGGCAGTCCTGGCAGTCCTGGCAGTCCTGGCCGTCCTGGCAGTCCTGGCAGTCCTGGCAGTCCTGGCAGTCCTGGCAGTCCTGGCAGTCCTGGCAGTCCTGGCCGTCCTGGCAGTCCTGGCAGTCCTGGCCGGCGCGGTGGTAGGTCCGCGTCGGTGTGCCGCCGTGCCGGCCGAGGAAGCGCCACGCCGGGTCCTCCCACAACACAGGTGGCGATAACCGGGCCAAGCGCACTCAGACACAGACACAGATACACACAGACACAGACAGATACACACAGACACGCACACATGCGCGCGCACACATACAGACACATACACACACGGGCATGCGCAGACACATACACGCGCACACAGAGGCCCGCCGGCAAATCCGGCCTGAACCACGACCTGCCGCAAAACCGAAACAAACCTGACCCCGGGTCCGCCGACGTTTGGCAGATAAGGAAACGCTGACACAAGTTGCATTTGAATTTCAAGTGCCGGATGAGTTGCACTGTAGTGTCTGTCTATGAGACGCCCTCTGAACTGTTTGCTTTTCTTGTGAGATTTGTTTTTGGCGGGTGCTGGTTATGCCTCTTTCAGTTTTATTTTTATTTTCCCTGCTGTTGTGGCTTTTGCTTCTGACCATGGTTTATCTACTTGTAGCTCAACACGTTTCCGCAGCGAGCCCGAGCGTTCGTGAGACAAGCACAAAAAATAAAAATAACACACTCAGCAAAAAAGAAAAATAGAGATTTTTTTGTAAAAGTTTAATCAGTTAATAAAAGACGGAGTGAGATAATACATAGGTACACATGGCAAGTTATCGTTGTACGTACAGTTTGGCACTTCAATCTTTTTTGTACACACGAAAAAAGCTCTAGCTTAGACAGATGACACGAACAACAATCCACAGACGAACTAAGTCTAAATTAAGTCAAATCGGAAACATTAGTACGTGATACAATAATGTGCAGCAAGGCGGTAGAATGTCGATGAAAAAATAATAATGCACGTCAACACTGACTGATCTCAAAAATAAATACTTCTACAAAACCAGCCCTTCGGTCTATCCACAAATCACGAAATGGCACGAACTCGTGATTTTGGCAGACGAGGCTCGAGGGTCGCGGACTGCTCCATTTACTCAGCTCCTCCGTCGAAGAGGTTCCGGAGCTCACTTCTCTCACTCTCCAGTCTAGTCCTTAATGTTAATGTTAGCACGTCGCCACGGCACGCGGCACGGCACGCGGACGCACTCGGAGTCGCGGTTGACGGCCACGTCCTTGGGGACGTCCTTGAGGACGTCGTGGGGGACGAGGACGAGGACGCTCACATGATGGTGCAGGGCATGGCGCAGCAGAGCGGCAGGCACACGGGCACCACCGCCTTGCCGGTCTTGCTGGACTCCTTGCTGCGCTGCTTCATCTTGTACTCGTACTTGGCCTTGGCCTTGCCCTTGTAGCCGCCGCCCTGCAACACCATTCGAGTTCAGATTCGTGGATTCAGGAGGGGGATTGGGCGTCATCCCCCAGAGGGCGGCGAGGCTGCCTGGAAGGTAGGCAACACACCGCACTTGGCGCCTGGAGGGGGGCAACTTGCGAGACATCGCCCTGTTCCCCTCTAAACCCGTCTCCGGATCCGCCCTTGCCCTTGCCCCGGCAGGCAGCAGAGCACGAATACAGCAAGCTGTTTTGAGTACCAAAAATTCGCAAGCTTTGACCTGGAATCTTCATTAGCTAACCAATATTTGGTGCTTCGACCGCCCATAATGCCTGAGGAGCATTTCAGGGCCCGGCCTGTCAATTTATGGCATTCAAAACGGTTTTGCCAAATTTGTGGCGAGCCAACTTGCCACCGGCTTGGCAGCAAAGCTAGTTCCACTGGAGGCAGCGCCGCCACTGCCGCCACTCACCGCGCTCTGGGCCGAGGACTCCTCCCTGGTGGTGAACATCTCGACGCCGGGCGGGTAGTACACGGGCGGCCCGGCCACGTTCCTGGACACCAGCTGCTCCTCCTTGCGCACGGGCGGCGGCGTGGGCGGCCCGCGCGCCGGCTGCTGCACCTGCTGCCGCTGGGCGCGCTGCTCCAGGTCCAGGGCGTGCTGCCGGACGCTGGTGTGGCCCTGCGGACGACGAGCGGGAACGGGGTGAGGGGGCGTGATGGCGAGAACATTTTACTCTGATTCCGGACAACGTTTCATCGCTCGCTGCTTCTCGGCAAACACTTTAAATCCAGTGTGGTAAGTTCGAGTGGCGCCCCGTTTTGGTGGCCTTCTGGCCGTGGATCGCCCTCTGAGAACGCCAAGATGTGGCGTGCCGGGGCGCCGGAGTGCCGAACTTTGGCATTCTCAGAGCACAAATCTGAGAGGAAACTTGGCAACGGCATTGCCGCGAATAACTTGCGAGAGGCAGGGCGATGGAACGCTGTGCGGAATGAACCTGCTGCAGAACGCTCTCGGCGCGCTCTCACTCACCATGTCGGTCTCGGTGAAGGAGGACATGAGCTCGTTGAGCTCCTTGGGCGGCCGCTGGTCCTCCTGCGGCGTCGGCGAGGGCGTCGGGAAGGGGCGCGGCTGCAGCACGGGCTCGCGGAACGAGCGGTCCACCCTGTCGATCTGCAAGCCCAACGATGGCACGCCGTGAGTGCGGCACAACCCCGCGCCAAAAGCCCGGACGCGCTTTGAGCTCCTGAGTCGCTAAATGGTACTCGAACCGAACGTGTGACCCCACCAATGGATTGCTCTCCGAACGAGGAAGCCACAGGTGGGATCACACGTTTGATTCGAGTCCTGTTTAGCGACTCTGGAGCTCAACACGCGTCTAGAGTTTTGGCCGTCAGTGCCGTCTGCCGGTCCACTGTGCGTGGCTTCGAGTCCAGCAACTAGGCCAGGTTTTGGCGATGGGTGTACCGCTGCACCGGTCTGCCGGTCCACTGTGCGTGGCTCCGAGTCCAGCAACTAGGCCAGGTTTTGGCGGTGGGTGCACCACTGCACCGGTTTCCCAGTGTACCTGGTAGGTGTGCACGTTGCGGACGGGGAAGGGCTGCGGCGGCGGCGACCGGGACCGCGACCGCTGCCTGGTGTTGCTGGTGTTGGTGTAGCTGGCCGACTCGTCGCGGCGGTACGCGTAGCCGGACAGCGGCTCCGGCGGCATGGGGAACGACACCGGCGACGGCGAGCGGTGCGGCGGCGGCGTGCGCGGCGGGTCCACGTGGTTGGCGCTCGTCGAGCTGTAGTTGTAGGTCGTCGTCGAGGACATCACCTGCCGCGCGCAGAGGGAAGGGGAGGTCAGTGCTGAGTGACCCGGCAGACTGATTCCGAGGGTCGTTTTCGTCGCTCTGTGCCTCTCGTGCCTACACGGGGGGATGCCCGATGAGTACGATAGAGATGGAGCAAGGCGTGGATCCAGGGAGGAGGTTGCCGCCTGAAAGGTAGGCAAAAGCCGCACCTTGCCTCTGTAAGTAGGCAACTTTTGCGGCACCCCCTCCCCATGAACCCGTCTCTGGATCCGCCCTTGGACAGAGCGACGTAAAGGGCTCTCGGAATCAGCCTGCAGCAACCAGTGACACACTAACACCTTGCGTAGCCATCGACGAGTGCGAGCGAGAGCGAGGGGCTCCCGGCGAGGGCGCGCTCGGCGGACCGGGGTCTACCAGGCGACGCGGGAGTCCGAGCTGTGTGGCCCGACCAACGCCTTTCATGTCCTCTTTGCGCCCAGCGACACATGTCAACGCACACACACACGCACTCACACACAAAGGCACTCACACCACTCACGCAAAACGCATTACGCGAAACACAAACAAGCGCGGCGTTGCAGTCGGTGCAACTGCCGTAGAGGGGTGTGTGCAGTGCACACGCACGCGCGCGCGCGCACACACACACACACACACGCACAAAAAGGCACTCACACCGCTCACGCAAAACGCATCACGCGAAACACAAACAAGCGCGGCGTTGCAGTCGGTGCACTGCCGTAGAGGCGTGTGTGCAGTGCAGGGGCGAAAGTTACAGTGCGGAACACTGGCGTGCTTTGTCCGCCTTGGCCGCGCGCGGCGACACGGCGCCCTTTGTCGAGGGAAGACCAGGACGGCAGCATCAGCCGAGCGATCCAGAGAGCGGTTTGTTTCTCTGTCTCTCTCGCACCCTCATGGAGAGGCCCATGATTGCGAGAGAGACAGAGCGACGAAAGCGCAGTTCCGAATGAGCTCGCTGTGCCGGGTCGTTGTTTGCAAGTTGCAAGGCGTTGGAACGCCAACGCCGCCGCCACACAGTGGGCCAGACGACCGGTGGAGGCGGCCAACTCTAGATGCGTTTTGAGCTCCAGAGTCGCTAAAATGGACTCGAGCTAAACGTGTGATTCCACCAATGGATTGCTCTCCGAACGAGCAATCCATTGGTGGGGTCGCACCGTTCGAGTCCTGTTTAACGAATCTGGAGCTCAAAACGCGTCTAGAGCTTTGTACGACTGCTCCGGTCTTCTAACCCACTGTGCGCCAGCCGCACGCAGAGTGACGAAACGACTCTTGCGAATCGCTCTGCGGCACACGGCACACGACACACGGGGCAGAGGGCGGGGGGCAAACCGGGGCAAACCGGGGCAAACCGGGGCAAACCGGGGCAAACCGGGGCAAACCAGGCCAAACCACACAGCACGCGTCCACGCGTCCCAAACCTTCCGCCGGGGCACCGGGGAGCGCGCGGGGGAGGGCGACCTCCGGAGGCTGAGCGCCGCCTCCTGCTCCTCGCGGCTGGCCCTGCGCTCGTACTCGCGGACCAGCGTGGACACCTTGGCGGCCCCTGTGACGGGGTAGTCGGGCAGCCCCACGCCCGCCAGCGGCGCCATGGACGGCGACGCCGGCCGCACGCGGTCCCTGGGTGGCGAGGCGTCGCGGTAGCGCGTCGTGGAGGACGTCGACGTGGACCCCGCGGTGCCGCGCGAGTCGTAAGACCTGCGGGAAGAGAGGGAAAGTGAGTTTACGCGGCTGGGAGTCGAACCTGGGACTCCGAGGACGGAGCGGCCGTTACCGGTAGACGTGGTGCGAGACGACCTCCCTGCCCAGCGAGGGGCTGGGCGGGATCTCCCTCCTGGCCGGGGACGGCGACGTCGTTCTGCTGGAGCTGGAGTACACCTCCCTGGACATGCCGGAGGTGATGCCTGCAGACAAACGGAACGAACACACAGCGTCACGTCCTCGCTTCTCAAACTCGCCGCACTGGAGGCCCTGCCGCCTGACTCCGAAGGAGCGTCTCCTCGCTCTGTCTCTGTCGCACTCATGGGGCGTTCCTCACGGGTGCGAGAGAGACAGAGCGACGAAACGGTCCAACGGAATCAGGCGGCCGCGGAGTGATGACAGCGCCTTTGTCGCTCTGTCTCTCTCGCACTCGTGGCGCGCTCCGTCTGCGTTGGAGGGAGAGGCCCTACTCACCCCTGTCGAGGCTGGAGGACACGGGGTGGCGGTTGGGGCCGGGGCTGGGCGACTGCCTGTCCTTGTTGACGGACCCGTAGCGCTGCTCGCTGTACGAGCGCTGCGAGGACCGCTGCGCCGAGCGGCTGATGTGCTGGGCCGGCCGGGGGTCGCTGCTGCGGAGCAAAAGCAGTTGGAGCAATCCGGCCGCGTCCTCAAACTACTGCAGGGGCGGCGGTACTTACTATCCGTCGCGGCTGGTGGTGGTCGTAACTGCAACAACAACGACATACAGTGAGCGGGTTCACACTGAACGGACACGCTGTGCAACGCGCGACTCCAGTGGAGGGTAATAGGACAACCGGCCCGTAGATAGCCGCCGGAGAGGTAGGCAAGCAACACTCTGCCACAGCATGCGAGCAAAAAGTGCTACTTTGACCCCCCCCCCTTTCCCTCAGGGTGGCTCTAGATCCGGCACTGAGGCGGCACTGGGGTGTGCTGTGTACTCACTCTGGTACTCGCGGTTGAAGCCCGCCCGCTGCGCCGAGTTGAGGTCGTCCAGCAGCGTATCCAGCTCGGCGATGTTGTTCTGGCCGAGGTCCGTGATGGCGCGCGCCTGGCTCAGCGTGTCCGCCGTCTCGCGGAGCAGCGCTGCGGATCACCACGGCCATTGTCATCGTCACTGTCTCTCTCGCACTCATGGGGCGTTACTAGTGGCGTTACGGGTGCGACAGAGACAGAGCGACGGAGCACTGCTCGGCTCGCTCACCTGCGTTGGCGTTGTTCGAGGAGCCCGTGCTGCTCTTGTACTCGTAGGACATGGTCTTGTAGGCGGACGTGGCGTTGCCGTGGCGGTCCACGCCACTCTGAGGGAGGAACACAGACACGGCGTTAGTCGCTAGTCTTTACAGTGTGCCGCGCTCCTCCCTGCGCCGGGGACCTACCGAGTACTCGGTGGCCGAGTTGTAGGCGCCGGGCACGGCCGACAGCGAGTTGAAGACGCTGGGCGAGGAGGCGCGCTCCTCCGGCACCGTGGTGGAGTTGGCGGGCGACAGGTACTCGATCTGGTACTCGCGGGTGGTGCTGGGCAGCTGCCCCGTGGCCTGGGTCGTCATGGTGCGGCTCACCTCCCGGTACCCCGTCGACGTCATGGTGCTGTTGTGCGCGACGCCGCTGACGGCGCTGCTCGGCAAGCCGTTGACGCGGCCCACCGAAGACTGGAGGTCGTCGAGGAGGTTGTCTGCAAGGAGCACGCCGTCAGCACCGGGAGCAGTCAGTCTCTCTCTCTCTCTCACACACACACACAACACTCGCGTTGTTTTCAAAGAGATTTCATTGACCTGCCTGCCTCTATGACGTCACTCACTTTGTCTCCGCCTTTACCTTGTCGCGGCACTGGAGGCTGCTGCCCCGGCGCACCTCTGCTACAAGGACCCCCGCAACGTGGACGGACTCGACCCTAAGTGGCGGTGGCGAAGGGGGCAGATCCTGGGGAGCCAACCGAACGGACCATGCCGTGAGTCGGGCGTTTCGCGCAAAGCCACGCCGGGCTGGACTCCACGTCGGCCGAGGGTGAGGGAGGCCCACTGGTGCGACTGGGGACTCGTCGGGACTACTTCAAGGAGGGTGGAAGGCACAGGAGGACGTTCAGAACGCAAAGGGGCGCTGCAGCGGCAGACCGATTCCGACAGTCGTTTTCGTCGCTCTGTCCCTCTCGCACCTCGAAACACTCCATGAGTGCGATAGGAACAGAGCGACGAAAACGACTCTCGGAAGCAGTCTGCTGGCGGAGTCCGAAGAGTGCTGTCCTCGCTCTGCCTCTCTCGCACCTCTACGGGACGCCATATGAGTGCTGGAGAGCCTGAGCGACGAAAACGACTCTCCGCGCGACTCTGAGAGTGAGTGTCGGAACGGAACGCCGCGCGGACGCCTGAGCGCAGCACGGCCCCGTGCGTTGGGTTGCCTACCCGGTGCTCGTCAGGCGCTCGCTCCGGCGGCCGGCTGTTCGGGGTAGTTCGGGACGCATGCGGGGAGGGCCGGGGGGCAAGTCGGAATGAGTGTACAGGAACCCCGAGGAAGACGAACACACGGGCAATTAGTCAAGTGCGGTGCGAGTGTGTGAGTGCGTGCGTGCGCGCAGCGGCCGGGTCATAACACAGGGTGCAGACACTGGCTGGCCGGCCAGACACATCGCTCTCTAGGCTGCAGACTGATTCCGAGAGTCGCTCTGTCTCGCTCGCACTCATGAGGCGTCGCGTGTAGATGCGAGAGAGACAGAGCGACGAAAGCGACTCTCGGAATCAGTCTGCTGGGTGCTGGCTGGCGCCGCGGCCAAGCGGGCTGCCAAGAGGGCGCAGCGCGCGGAGCGGCGCAAAGGGGAGGGAAGTAGGTTGCAAGCTGCTGGCACTGCCCTGGCACTGCCGGCCAATCACAAGCGGGGGCTCGGGGGGTTCATTCAACCCGCATTATTCTGCAGCAGAGAGAGTCCGAACCGCGGTTTGTCGCTGTCTCTCTCGCACCCTTCGCAAAACCCACGAGTGCGAGAGAGGAAGCGCAGTTCGGAAGCAGCCCGCTGCACCGGGTCGTTGTTTGCAAGCTGCAAGGCGTTGGAACGCCGCCGCCAAGCCGCCGCGCGACGCGTTCGGAAACGCCAGAAAAACAAGCGGCGGCCACGCAGCCTGCGACCTGCGTGGGCGTCGTGGCAGGGCCTGGCAGGGCGGCCCCAAGCCAGCAAGCCGGCCAAGAGTTGCGTCGCGGCGGGGGCGGGCGCAGGCGGGCTGAGGGTGGGTCCGCACAGTCCGCACGTCCGCTACACCGCAATGGCGGGGCGGGGCGGGGCGGGGCGCTGCAGTGGCATGGCGCTAGTCTGCAGACTGATTCTAAGAGACGTTTTCCTCCCTCTGTCACCCTCGCTCTCACGGGGCGTCCCGTGTCGGCGCGACAGAGGTGGAGCGACGGAAACGACCCTCTGAATCAGTCCACTGATCCTGGACACAGGGTTTCACCGCTCCGTCTCCCTCGTATTCTACGCGACGCCCCATGAGTGCGAGAGAGACAGAGCGACGAAGGCGCCGTTGTTCGAAACTAGCCTGCTTTCATGAGGCGCATGGTAAGGGGCGGATCCAGGGGGTGGCGTCGTGGGCAAAGCCGCCTGAAACGCGAAGTCCCACATTGCCCCAGGAAGTAGGCATCCCATCCGCATTTCAACCCTTGCTCAGCTGCTCATGGAGTGGACGCCAGGCGTGCGAGCACGGCGGCGTGGTGACAGCGAGCACCGAGCACAGCACCGTTCGAGTCGCACCCAGCGGCGCCCGAGCACCGCCAAGCACCGCCTGACCGCCACCCCCGGCCCGGCACTGGCACACTGGCAAACAAACAGACTGGCGGACGGGACGCGCGGACCGCGGCGGCCGGCCGGACAGACTCACTGCCCCACTGATTCACGGTGCTATTTCGAGCGCCTCCCCCGGGCTTTAATCTGACATTCGCGGTCGCCACTCGACAACAGGATAGGGCAGGCCCTGCCGCCCTGGGCTTTGTCGCCGTCTCTCTCGCACCTTGACGATGCGCTCCATGAGTGCGAGAGAGACAGCGCCGTCCGGAGGCGGCCGGCGTCCGCGGGTGGCTGCAGGGTGGCCGCGGGACGGCGGCGCGGCGCCCTCTGACGACGCCCACCTGGCCGAAATTGATTGTGACACACCGCCTTCGTGGAGTTGTTGTTGTTGTTGTCGTCGTTGCGGTGACCGCTCGGGTCGGCCGGTGCAGCGGAGGCAGCGGCAGCAACTAACAGTGCGGCGCGGCGCTAGAGCAGAGCGGAAAGAGGAAGCCACACGTGTCCACACGCTGGAGCTGGAACTACAGAGCGACTACACTGGGACTACAAAGTGAGTGGCGTCAATCGGCTACAGTTAATTCGCGCAAGAAAAGGAATAAAAGAACTTTTCTGTACAAAATTAGTCCTATTAGATTTTTACAAAGTGTGCAGGTAAAGCAGGGGTGGGTGGAAAGGGCCCAGTCGGGTCGGCCCAGTCGGCCGAGTGGCCTCGGCAAGCCATGCCTTCGCTTGCCTTCGCTGCGGACGGCGTGCCGTTCTGGCCGACTTGACTGTGCCATTTCCAACCCCTGATTCAGCCATGCGTGCATGTGAATGTAATCGTAAAGTCATTTCAAAGAAATTATTAGATTATTGAAACGTACCAAGGTTGTTATTGTCCATGCCGCTGAGGTCAGTGTTGTTGTCTCTTTCAACTCAGCCGGTGAGAATCTCCGTAACCAGACTCATGCCACCTGCAAATTTAAAAGAAAGAAACAATGAGTAATGTGTTCAATTCAAAAGTGATGTATGAAGAGGAGGTTCATCAACATCAGTATTATTTGGAAATTTGCATAGTTTGAAAGGCATAACATTGTCCAAATTCAAGTTGAAGAGAAACGTTAAATTAGTCGTATCTTCAAAAAGTCTCCTACGCAAAGTATTTCAACGGAAACCCAAAACTTTTGGTCTGGTCATTTTTCACTTCCTTGGCTTGGGTATAATACGTCACTGTTTTTTGTATATGAGCCAAGGAAGTGAAACATGTCCTATCATCAGTTTGCGTAGAAAATACTTTACGTTACTTTTAGAAGGTATTTGCTGACTTTGCAGCAAGGTGTTCGACTCTTAATTTTGCTGATTACAAAGCAGCACTTCACATCTGTCAAGACTTTAGACATAGGGACCCTATTTGAAAAAAATGCAATATTATCAGTAGTATCTCCACTCAATTATTTTTTTTAATAGGCATCTTTTTCAAGTTGACATCTTTTAAAAAGAAGGATGCTTGACACACATTGATGGATTTCATTTATAATTTGGTTTTGCCAGTGGGGTTTCACAATGGGATTCGAGGCGACGGTCATCCGACTGGCCGCTCTGGCCTGCGAGGAGCAGTGTCCTTGCGGAACTGCATTCTCTGAAGCTGTCTGGGGCTTTTGCGCAACCTGCTACTTGGTGCCGGTGGTGCAGCCATCCGTGCCCGTTGCCTTTGGGGGTTGGTTTTGCTCGCAGTTTGTCTACGTTTGAGGAGAGGGTCACCAAGATTCAAGATTGATGAAACACCTTCTCCCCCTCCCCCTTTCCCTCTCCACCTTCTTCCCTCGTCTGTTCTCTCTTCCCCTTCCCTACCCCCTACCCCCTTCCCCCTTCCCCCTCAACCTTTCTCCCCTTCCCCTCTCCCCTCGCCCTCCCCCTTTCCCCTCCCCTCCCCCTTTCTCCCCCTTTCTCCCCTTCCCCCTTCCTCCTTGCCCTCTCTCCCTTCTCCCTACACCTTCGCTAACAACAAGGTACTTGATTTGAAATTGGACTTGATTTGGAAAATTGGTCTCAGATCCACCAAGAACCCGACCGCCACCGCCATGAAGTCTGAACGTGTGCCCGGGCCCGAGGCGAGTGAGGCGAGCGAGGCGCGCTCCGAGGCGCCGGCGCTGCCGGACGAGGTGCTGGCGCAGATCTTCGGCCTGGTGACCGACGGCCCCACGCTGCTAGACGTGCTGCCTCTCGTGTGCCAGAGCTGGCGGCGCGTCGCCCGCCACCCGGCCTCCTGGGCCGGCGTCCGGTTCGTCATCGACACCTCCGGGGCCTTCAAGCGGATCATGTTGCAGTAAGTGCGCTCACTGGCTAATGCCTTCAAGAAACATCAAGCTTTGGCGAAAATTTTCGTTTGTAGATATTTTTTTTGGCTTGCCTTTTTGTAGACCGAGCACAAAGTTTTGGGCGAAGATGACGAACGCGTGGTGCAGGCTTGTTTCTAATCTCCGTTCTCTCCCAGGACCGACCGGGCGCGCACCCTGGCCCGCGCGCTCCTGCACGCCCCCGTGGCCGCGTCGCTGGAGGTGCTGGGCCCCTCCGACCCCGGCCCCCTGCTGCAGTCCGCCCTCCGCCGCAGCGGCGCCTCTGTCCGCGTCTTGGACTGCGCGTGTTACAGGTAGGTGTCGCCGGCCGGGAGTCGAGGGCGGACTTCGAGACAGTGGCGGATCCAGAGGGACTTGCGGGGACCATGTAGCGAAAGTTGCCTAATAGGTGGAGGAAGTGCGAAGTTTTGCCTGCTTTTCAGGCGACGTCGCCGTCTGAAGGTAAGGGCTAGGGTAGGGGTGCCCCTCGCCCCCTGCACTCGCCCATTGATTTAACGGGAAAAGGCAGCAGCCCTTTTGCCACCCTTTGGCCTCCGGAAATCCCCTGCCATTGGACAAACAGCGCAGCTTGGCCCCTCCGTCAGGCCTTCTGGATCCACGTCCTTGCGGCGTTGCGGCGCCGCGCACCGAGTAACCCCCCGCCTTGTTGGGTTGCAGCGAACTCTTCTGGAAGCACGTGGCCCCCTTCCTGTACCGGCAGCGCGAACTCCGAGTGCTGCGGCTGCGCCTGCGCTGCCGCTCGCACCGAGCCACCTTCGAGGACATGATGACCGCCGAGATCAAGGTGCCGCGGTGCGCGCGCGACAAGTACGACGGGGAGCTCGCCGGGCCGCACCCCAAGCTCCGGGAGCTGGTGCTGCAGGACCTGCGCGTCGAGCACCGCCTCCCCGAGCGCTTCGTCGCCGACCTGGTGCACGGCGCCGTGGCGCTCCGGCAGCTGGACCTGGACGTGCACCCCGTCGACGCGGACATCTTCGAGACTCTGGAGCAGCCCGTCGTGGCCGTGGAGCACCTGTCGCTGGTCCTCAAGGCCAAGGGCCCGGACGCGTTCTGGGAGCTCCGGAAGAGCGCCGGCAGTGCGGTGGCGCTGTGCCGGTTGATGGACCCCTGCCTCCAGTCCGTGACCCTCCACCTCCACCACCAGGTGTCGTCCGACCACCCCGGCGATGACTGGTCGTTGTTTTGTAAAGGACTGTTTTCCGCCGTCGCCAGCGCGCTGCCAGACATCAAGGTGACCATCGAGGACTTGTGACTTGTGCGCCCACACCCACCATACCATGGCTCCTTCTCTGTGATCGCTACCTGCTGCCCGGGTCCAACAGGTCCTGCATCGCCCCAACGAGCGCCCTCTCATTCCATACAAATTAGACAAGTTAGATAAGACTCACGGCAGATAGACTTCATGCACGTGCACAAGTGGTACCTGCGCTTTTTCTGGGTTTTAGGTCTCAGTATGACGTCTTTGTAATTTATATATATCTAGTTAAGGAGTTTCTGACGTACGTTTAATGTGATACATGCAAAAGAAGTAGTTGATAATGAATGCCTCCTGTTTTAAAGTTTTAAATGTTTTAAAGATGATCGCAAACGCCTTTTTAAAATAAATTTTTACAAGTAAATTTTTGATAGTAAATACGTATTTTTTGTTGCTTTTTTCATTTGCAACTAGAAACGACACAATTCTGAGCCCTGGACAGGGTGAAACTCGAAATCAGTTCTAACAATCGGATGTCCGAGGGAGCGGCACGACTACCGCTTGGTCCGCGAAACAGAGAGAAGGCTGCGGCGAGCACAATGCGGAGGTCCTGGTCCTCTCTGTCTGTCTGTCTGTCCGCCTCGCCGCGACATTTAGAGTGGCGCGTGCCCCAACGGCACATGCCGCCTGGGTCGCCGCCTGGCCGCGCCGCCGCGGAACCGACTTAACCGCGACGCGTATGCATCGGCCTGGCTTGGACTGGGGCAGCCCTTCGTCTTTCCGTCTCTCTCGCACCCGCACGGGACTGCACGGAACGCGCCGCGAGTGCGAGAGAGGCGGCGTCCGTGGAAAGAATGTGAGTCAGTGCCGCGCCTCGCCCGCCTCGCCGCAGTGTCGCTGCCGGCCTGTTTATGACGAGACCATGCCATTCCTTTTTGGGGCCGAAGGCGAACCACCCCCGCACCACCGCCACACTGCTTGTCGCGCCGCGCCGCCGACCGACTCCGCGCATCGTCGTGCTCTCTCTCTCGCACTGGCGGGGCGCCCCGTGCGGAGTCAGCCTGCCGCCACGGCGTTCCGGGAATCGGTCCTAGTTTGTCGCGGCTCGTCGGCACACTAGCACATCGCAGCAATGGCGTTCCGATTGGCGACCGACATGCGGCACACCGAGCGCGGCGCGGCGCGGCGCCCCCGCCAGGACGGCGGACTGTCGGCATTCTGCATTTCCGGTGTGGCTGCCGAACCAGATTGCCGCCGAGCACGGCGAGGCGGGCGAGGCGGGGCGGGGCGGGGCGGGGCGAGGCGGGGCGGGGCGGGGCGAGGCGTGGCGGGGTGGGGTGAGGCGAGGCGAGGCGAGGTTTGGTGGGCGGCAGGACGTGTGCACTGGCCGCGGCCGCGGCGACTTTACGACCACCCCGAACAACACGGTCATTTCGCAATGGAAGAAGAGAAGAAGGAGGGGGGGAGGAAATTGGTGGCGCCCCAGTGGTACTCGAACGCGCGTCGATGAGATTTACGTGGGCTGGATGGTGCGCTGGGTGCGCCACGCCCCACCACGCCCCGCCACGCCACGCCGCCGCGGTCTGTGGGACAGTGAACGCGCCGCCGGCAGGACGGGGGCAGGGCGGCCGGACGGGTCTATTTCCGTGCAGTCAGGTGCGCGGACTCGCGGGACTCGCGGCGCCTTCCCGCCAGCAGACCGCCGTCGCTCCGTCTCTCTCGCACCCCGGCGGCCCTGCGGCCCTGCGGCCCTGCGGCCCTGCGGCACGATCCACGAGTGCGAGAGAGACGGAGCGACGGCGCGGTTTTTCGGAACGACTCGGCTGGGCGGCCGCGCGCTTTATTCGCACCAGGCCGGGATGATCAGGGCGGATTTATTCGGGCGCGGGTCGCGGGTTCGAGTCCCGGCAAGGTAGCGCGAGTTTTTGTGTGTTTTGTTTTTGCCCCGAGGTATTGCACGGGCGAGCGGAGAGGGAAGGCCCACCGAGGCGGCGGGGCGACGCCGCCCTGCACGGCGGTCCGGTCCCAATAAGGCTTGCCGCCGTGCGGCATGCAGCCACCGAGTACGCAACGAGGACCTGCAGGCCGACTCCGAGAGTCGTCCTCGTCGCTCTGTCTCTCTCGCACTCGTGGGCGCTCCGGAAAGGTGCGAGGGAGACAGAGCGACGAAAGCGACTCTCGGGATCAGTCTTGCCCTGCATGGCGGAGGACGGCGACCGAAAAGGGGCGCCGCAATCGGCCTTGCGAATCAGAAAGTGCGGCTGATTCCGAGCAGTGGCTCTGCCGATCCGTCCCTCTCGCACTCATGGACCGTTCCGTAAGGGTGCGAGAGAGACAGCGACGGTGCGCGGTGGCGCTGGAGAGCGCCCGGCGGGGTGGGCCAGCCCGTTACACGCGCGCGTGTTGCGGTGTTGCCTACCCGCGACTTCGCAGGCGCTGACGCACCCGGACACCCAAAACGAAAACGCAAAGCTGAAACGTGAAGTGCTGCCCCGCACATCCCGACACGCCAAACTGCTTGTCGTTGCCGAGGTTCCCGAGGCGGCCACTCCGCTCCACTCCGCTCACGCCATCCTGCCCAATTTGCCTGCCAATAGCGTTCGTGCTGCCGCCAGGCCGGCCGGGCCGCGCCGCCGCGCCCGCGTGTGCCTCTGTGTGGGCCTGGGCATCACAATACCGGACCCAAATTCCGCCTGCCTGCAGGCGCTTCGTCGTTCTGCCTCTCTCTCTCTCTCTCTAGCCCATTCGGCGCACCCAATGGGTGCGAGAGAGACAGGGCGACGGCCTGCACCGCGCGTGGGTCAGCAAGTCCGCCGGGCGCCGCGAGGTTTTCATAGCAAGGCACTCGGCATGGCGCCCCGCGGCGGCCAGCCACGACGCACTTGAAGCAGCAGACTGATTCCGAGAGTCGTTTTCGTCGCTCTGTCTCTCTCGCACTCGTGGGGCATCTCGTGTAGGTGCGAGAGAGACAGAGCGACGACAACGACTCTCGGAACGAGTCTGCTAGCCGTTAGGGAAGCGGAAACGGGTCCAGGGCTGCGCCAGGCTGCGCCTGTTGGTCTGTTTGCCGCGCGCTGAAAACGGGGCTAGGAAAAGCGCCACTCAAAGCTACTCGGCTTGCTTCGCTTGCTTCCCGGGCCGTGGTCGGCCGTGGCGGCCGCGTCGGCTAGTTCGACGGAAAGCACTCGCCGTCCGCGCCGCGCGCACATTCGGTTTCACAGTGGTCACAAAGAGCCCCGAAATGACTCAAGGGTCGAACAGAAAGGAGAGGCTGCGCCAAGGACGTCGCTGAGAGACGTCGCTGACAAACTTTTAGACAGGCCGCCGCTAACGCTGACAAACTTAGAGAGGCCTCGACGGATGCTGGCAAACTTAGGGAGACCTCGCCGAAGCTGACAAACGAAGAAAGGTCTCGAAACAAACGAGAGGAGGCCTCGCTAACACTGACAAAATTTAGAGAGGCCCCGCTAACGCTGACAAACTTTAGAGAGGCCTCGCTGAAGCTGACAAACGAAGAGAGGCCTCGCTAACGCTGACAAACCGATGACAAACTTGGGAAGGCCTCGCTAACGCTGACAAACAGAGAGGCCGTCGCGTTGGCGGCGTCGCGCCTTGCCGGCCTCGCCGCGGCCGCACCGGGCTGCCGATCGGCAAAGGGCTCGTTCGTCGGCGTCCTCGGGCCCTGGTGGCACTGTCGCCAAGGCCGTTGCTCCGGGGCCGGCGGCGGACGCGCCGAAAGCAACAGGTGCGCGTCAAAGAGTCGAGAGCGGCGCGGCCGGCCGCAGCAGGTTATGTCAGTCACAGTCGGCCGAGGACAGAGCAGAGCGGCACAGAGCGCTGATTGAAAGCTGTAAAAAAGAACCGCCCGGCAATGTCGCTTGAATATCAAGCGCGCTGGCGGGCCGGGCGGGGCAGGCGGGGCGGGGCCGCCGCGCGGGTCTTGGCCTGGAGGCCTGGAGGCCCGGAGGCCTGGGGGTCCACGTCGAGGCCCTGAGGACGGCGGCGCGGCGTCGCAAGGCGCGGTGCGGCGCGGCGGGCGGCGGGGCGCTCCGTGCCTGATGCCCATACTTGGCGACGCCAAGTCGCTGCCAGCTCGGCCTGCCCGGCCTTCACCGCGCCGCGCGCCGCGCGCAGCCCGTCCCCGCCGCGGCACGCCGGGCACGCCGGGCACGCCGCCCCGGAGCCGATCACCGCCAATCCCATACGGCATGCGTGCCATCATGCTGGATTTCAATGAGGTTTCGAGAGGGCCCGGCCCGGCCAGCGGAGCGGGCTGACTCCGAACGCTGCCTTCGTCGCTCTGTCGCTCTCGCACCCATTGGGCGGTCTACAGCGGTGAGAGAGAAAGGAGAGAGAGAGAGAGAGAGAGAGAGAGAGAGAGAGACCGATGGAGCAGTGTTCGTAATCAGCCTAGCCAGCAGAGGCACCGGGAGGCACCTGCAGGCCGCGGGGCCCGAATGTGGGTCCGCGAGCCGCGTGCGAGCCGCGTGCGTGAGTCAGGGAGTCAGGGAGCCAGGTGGGAGGGGCACTGAGGGGCAGGCGGCCGGATGGGCAGCCCGGCAGCGGCCGGCAGCGGCCGCGGACTTGAACGCCCCGCGCCGCGCCGTGTCGTCTGGAAGGGAAAGGCGAAGCAGGCGAAGGCGACGACGCGAGTGTCGTCGTGAATCTATTCGGCCGATTGCCGATCGTGTGGGCGGCTCCGCGGCGCTCCGCGGCCGACTCATTCCGCGCACATCGCTGGCGTCGCTCCGTCTCTGTCGCACTCGTGGGCCGTGCCGCTGCGTGCCGCTGCGTGCCGCTGCGTGCCGCGCGGCCGCGAGAGAGACGGAGCGACGGAGCGCTGTTCGGAAGCAACCGCGGCGAACGACGACAGTCTGCCTGCATTCGGCGAGGAAACGATCAACGCGCCGATTCCGCCGCGCGCTGCACCGCGATGACGATTTGCGGTGTGACCGCCTCCCTCCCCTCCCCTCCCACTGACACACGGCATCGTGGCTGCGCTGGCTGCGCTGGTGGCTGCGCTGCTGCGCCCCGCCCCGGGCGTTGATGGCTCATTTGCTCGAAATTACACGTATTGTAGAGCGCGCGTGCTGGCGGCTGCCTGGCTGGCTGCCTGGCGGCGCGGCTCCTTGTTGCACCCGTGCGGCGTGGCGGCGTGGCGTCTCGTGTCCGCGCCCAATCAAGTCGCCGAGTGAACGCCACAATAACAAGAGGGGCGTTGCGCGAGGCGCGAGTGCGAGAGTCCAGGCCGCCCCGTCCGGGCGCCAATGGAGAATGGAGGTGACCCAATAAAAAGAGCGCCATACCCGTGACCCACTTGAATGCGTCCTGTTCTTCTTTTTCGCTTGTTTTTGTTTGTCGTAGACTGCAGAGTGCACCGCGACCTCCCCGCCGCCGCCGTGGTCTTTCTTCACCCGGCGGGTGAGCCCCCCGGCGACAAGGTC